TCACTTATTTTACCTGTAACAACGCATATATTAGATGCGATGTCTAAAATAGCACGGATTTTTATTCTTCAATTTTTGGCGTCCTGATGGAGATATATCTCTGCAGTAGAAAAAAGAGTACACTTTTTCTTTTTTGTTTATTCGTGTTACTTAAAACACTCAACGCTTTCAATTCTGAGTCACCTGTTCCAGCGGTGGCATTGATCTCACTTTTTATTTTGTCTAAGCGGCGTCATCGAAGCGACAAGGAGTCTTTTCGAATGACCTTCATTATCCATACATATTAATTTATTATGTTTCTCCTCGCAGGTGGCATCTAAATTTCGAGAGCCACTGACTTTTCTTATGATTTTGCTTTAGACGTAATTCACAGAGTTTATGTGAACGAATTAATTTTAACCTTTCATGAACATTTAACTTTAAGAATGTATTCGCAAAGGAAAATAGGATGAAAGGTTCCTACAAACAACACAGTTTTTATTTTATTTTCATTTGTCAAAAGAACTTCAATTTATGGGAAGGGGTTATTAACCCTACTTCCGGGTGAATTCTTATAAACTTTTCAAATTTTGGAACTACTTTTGATTTGTGAGATAATTCAAAATTTTTTCTAGATTCTTTATCTAGTTTTTGTTGAAAAATATTTATTAGAAAAACATCAAATAACTTATTCTGTTCATATTTAATTTTAAAACTTTCAAAGTGTGTAAATTCTTTTGTATACAAATCAACATACTTCTGATATTTTTCATTTTTGGATTGATCTTTTAAAATTTAAAATATTCTGCACATGAATGTCAACAATCAGACGTTCATTATAGCGAGATTCTAAAGCATGTACAAAGATTCAAAATTATCAAAGTTACTACTTAAATCCTTAGCATCATTAGTAAGACAAGATCTTAGATAATACAATTCTGTGAATGACTCAGCTGAACATTATTGTAATTAAATCATCAATTGATTTTAAATGAACTAAATTCTTCATATTTTCCTGAAATTCAGGCAAAACTAACGCTGGGATTTTAGTTTGATTTGAAAATTTTCATCTACATTACTTTTCAGTACATTACTGCTTTTTCAGAATTTAATTGTAAGAATTAATGAGAATTTCAATTCTTACCTCCAATTTTTCCAGACGATCATTCACATTGGTTTAAGTCGTCATCATTTTGGTCAGATCATCATCTTTCTTTCATTTGCGTAGCACGCACTTCGTATTCATCAACTTTCTTTTGAAGAACTTGAATGTTTTTTAGTTTAACTTTAGTTCAACTAAGTCCATCAATTTGCAGTTTGGTACAAAATTTCGAATCTAGTTATTTTCCCCTTTAGGATGCTTTGCTTTTCATTAATATATCATACCGCTGAAGTAGGCTCCAGGGTCGACGGAGCCAATGAATAAACTTATTTTCTTAAATGTTATTTTTTCGACGGACCAGCTTCACTGCTCCTTTTTAATTTTTATTAGAAAAACATATACAAAATTTACATGAAGCAAAACAATTTAAGGTGAGCTTCGTACAAGTAATGCTCCGTCAGACCGGTTAGATTTCTTCTTCAAGTCTGTTGCCTCAATCGTAGGAAGCGATAATTTGGCGAGATTTGTTGGCGTAAAATGCGCCAACATCGTGCATATAAGAGTAGAGCCGAAGTTCCCTTGAACATCTGCTGGCTGCGACTGCTACTGCTACGTGGCTCTTGATGAACTTTTGATGGTGTTATTTTTTTTTTTCCTGCAATAAATTCTTCTGGAAGGGATTTGGGGGACACTCAGATTTTATTTGCCAAATCCAAAGCAGTTACTGTTGATATGGTTGGCTCATTTTTTAAACAGAAATTTTGTACTAAGAATTCCTTCATGACATAGTTAGTCTTCTTTCTTATCCCTCTTTCTTTTTATATTGACTTAAATTTTTTTCCTCCATTTTTTCCTCCATTTCTGTCCTATACTGTAATAAAAGTATTAAATAAAAATTCACTATCCTTTTTAATTCAATATTATCATATTGTAATCATTTTCCATTATAATAAGCAACTATATTTGCTATAAAAACAATAATTCCCTTATCTACTTTTTAAACACAAAAACTGAATTAGTTTAAATTAAAAAATATTATACTGTTACAGCTATATTATATATCTGATTTACTGCTTTAAATTCAGAACAGCCACTTCACACTTCTCCAGACTAACATCAAAATTAAATATTGCCAATAATTGTAAGCTGAAAGCAGAATTATCAACACACAACATGTGCAGTTGTCTTTTTTGTGATAATTACTGGCTCATCCTTTAGGAGTGGTCCTGCTGTATTATTATAAACAAAAATAATAGCATTGAGCTGTCAGTTCAAAAGTCAATGATGGAGCACTTGCTAATGATCCACCTGCACTATAAATTTAAATCAAAAGGTACCAGAAGTGCTTAGGCAAAGTGGTGTGCTAAATCATAAATCATATAACATGGACAAATAGATAAATGTTGTGTAAAGATTTTTAGGAAATGGTTCAAACTGTATTTTGATTTTGTTGCTTATGCTTCCCCCCACTTCCCTGAATGGTGCTGACTGATGCTGCTGCTGTCTCTGTGTATCATAGCATGGTACAACCCTGAGTGCAGCACTGATTAGATGATGGTAATGTTTGACAGATATATGACCAGATGCCACTAAAAAAGTTCACTAGTATTTCTGACTTACTGCAATTGGTTGCTATATTTTCAAAGTTGACAATTTAAGGTAGTTTTTTTATTTTAAATTTAAAATTAAATTTTATGAACCTTAAAGTATAACCTTAAAATTTTTGCCAAACACAATGTAAATTCATTATATTTAGAATTTCAATAAAAAGTTATTGAAGATGCTGCTGGCATTTTGTTACAAAGTTACTAATAAACCGATATAATGTACTTTGACCTAAAAATATTTTTATCAACAGACTGTAAGAGTTTTGACTAAGGTAAATCCATTATGTAAATTTGCTGTCACCAAAAAGTCTAAAATGAATATTTGGTACTTTTCCGTTTTCCCGGCACAAGCGATAAAGTCACCAGTAATGGTACAACATTTCCCAAACGGAATATCCTCCCTGGTAACATTTTACACCGCATTTTCAAAACAAGTCGCAGTCATTTCTTATCAAATTGATTGTTTCTTTCAATATTGGCATACAATTACATAGAAATTTTGCCAGATAGTTCAATTTTATGCCTTAAAGCCATTTGCGGTAATTAAGTCAATTAGAATGCAATCACACCACACACTCGAAGGCGAAAGTATAGAAAAGGCAAAATCAAGAGTCAATTTTAATGAGAATGGATTAGCGAAGTAAAGCACTGCGGTTTTACATAAACTTCTAATGAGTAAGCATTCTACTAATTGAATAACTCTTGCATTCAACTTTATTCAAATTAAGATTTAACTTGAAATTAATGTAGATAATTACTGAGAGAAATTAGATTTTGTAGCATAGTTTATGTAAGATGAGACACTTGGGGTCACGTGATATGAACGGCGAATCGGATGTGAACGATGAAGCATGAAAATCTTAAATTAATGATTTTAAAAATTTGTCTTACTTATTGTTTTTTACGAAATTTTAACGATGTTAAAATGTTTATGCCCTTCAAAATAAAAAATTCTTAGAACTAACATTTGTTAAAATTTTGTATGTGTATACTGTATGTTGTCGCCAATAAAGTCTGCTTGGTGAGATTTGCACCGGCGAAACGGAAAAGTACTGAATATTTTTACAGAAAAATAATTATCTATAGTAATTTAAAAAAGTGGTTGTATAGTTTTCCCCATATATTTAATATGAGGTCCCAAATATGGAAATCAAACGTTGCATTCAAAGTCATTAGGTGCAAGGTTGGTCATCAGATTTATTTTATTTCTGCTACAGTTTCCAAGTATATGATATATTTCTAATACTGCTCATCAGGGTTTGAGGCAAGTTATCAAAACTGCATGTTGTTAATGTGTTTGGTTTTCCTTACTATCCTGATAGCAGCTATCTGGTTTAGACGTTGTACACTGAAGTGACAAAAGTCATGGGATACCTCCTAATATTTTGTCTGTCCTCCTTTGTCGCGAAGTGCACGCACTCGACGTACAGGACGCAACAGTCGTTGGATCCCCTGCAATAATATTGAGCATTCTGCCTCTATAGACGCCCATCATTGTGAAAGGTTGAAGTTGCGGGTTTTGGCACGAATGACCTCTCGATGATGTCCATAAATTCGAGGGGATTCATGTCGGGCTATCTAGTGCCAGACATTCGCTTTAATTGTCCAGAAGGCCTTGTAACCAATCGCGACAATGGTGGCCCGTGACATGGTCATTGCATCCTAAAATCCCATCGTGTTTGAGTACATGAATCCAGATGCTGTAATTGATCCCAGTAGCTTAATGTTGAATTCCTACTAATGGAATGACCGTGCGTCTAGCTCCAATACCATTCCACGTTCAAAGTCTGTTAATTGCGTCGTGTGGCCATAATCAATCCAAGCCTCTTCACATGAATAACTTGAACACAAATGAAGCCCTTCTAAGCACTTCGCATTTATATGTTTTATACGCGATACTACTGCCATCTGTATTTTGCTGCTATCCCAGACTTTGGTCACTTCAGTGTATGATTACAGTAGTAAATTATAGAAATGTAATTATCTTTTGTTTTTATAGCACACAGTTTAAAAATGAGTATGCATATAATAAAAAATAAGAATGAGTATTAATTAAAGTATGTCATAGCATGATTTCTGTTTAAAATTTTATTATATTAAAAAAGAAAATTTGCAGCTGGAGCTGCATATAAGAGTCACACTTCCTCATAAGCGTGAGCAACTATAATTTTACTCATATTTGTAGTTTAATATATTATATTTTTGCCTTGTATTAATTTTTACTGATGTTAAATGTCATTTTATTTTTATTAGCATATTAAATGATTTCTTAAGTGTTGAAGTAAGTGTTATTTCTTTTTCCTTTTTTATAGCATAATAGTGGTTCTGATTTAGCAATTCTTTTAGTAAATGTTCTGAATGAATCTGGGGCAGCTGTATCAGATGATTATATGGGTATGTGTTTGACTTATATTTCATGTAAAATGTTGTACATGTGCAAGATTTTTATGTATTATTTAATGTTTCTTCCTATTTTAAGGCTACATTATATCCATTGCAGCTATGTTGTTTTTAATGTTATCAAAAATTTAATGTATGTATTAGCAAATAGAAAATTGACAGTTTCCTCTTGTTAAATTTGAGTTTCAGGGTCGTTTTGCTTAGATTGTACAGTCACTTACCCCCCCCAACTTTTTTACCCTTTGTACAGCCACAGTACTTTTTTTTTCTGTTCTGTCTGTATCTCCCATTTTACTGGACCAATTGACAAAATTTGAGTTTTAAAAAATTGCACAGTTAGTTTTTAAAAAAATTTAGTTCCTCAATGTTAATTGAATTTGCTATATGTTTATTTATATCACTTTTTAGTAAACTTACTGGCCAGCCTCATCAACATGAGTAGGCTGGCCAGAGTGCTTTGCTTCTTGAATGTTCTAGATGTTTATGAACTTTCGGTACCAAACCTTCACAGTGTCATATGTCACAATATTAGTACCTAAAACTGAGCACATAATTTGGTGATATTCTGTAGCTACTTTTTGCAATAGAACTGGAAGTAAATGATGGTTGTAATCTGGTAGCGTGATAGCTCTGTTTCAGACATCTTGTACATAATGATAATGATAATTTTTTTACAAATTTCACAACACAGTGTCCTAAAGTAAGTCTTTACTTTCAATTGCCAAAAATCATATGAGAAAATGTGATTAAACAAACCAACGTGAACTGCTTATGCAGACAATATTTGCAGTGGCAGGAAACTTGTTAAAACCCGATATTTCCTTACAACATGATTCTAGACACTGATGCTAATGTAATTATTTTGATAGCTGATGTATTCCAGGAAATGGATAGAAACCTGTACACTGCTTTGTCCTTAGTTCTACAAAGTATGAACAGAGAAAAGAGTCAGTGCACCAGAAAATCAGTGTGTTGATCAGGTTTCCAGTTTATAGGTGTCAGATTTTCAGGTTCACCTTGCAATGTTGGCCACACAAATATGACACAACACTGAATTGATGGTATCACCTATCATCTTAATATGGAAGAAAAATTCTTTCATGCAATTTTGTGTTGATTGCAGATATCTAAATGACAGTACACAGAAAGACGGTTAGCCTTTGCCTAGAATCAGTGATACACATGCTAGCAGAAAATAGTTTTCCTCTTGGGGATTTAAAGTGGACCACTAAAGTGCAAATGGAAGTTGAGTCCAAAGATAGTAATAAGACTTCATTTTAGCAAGCAGGGACTCTTGCTAAAATGAAAAGTGATTTTAGGCTTCTGGAAGCACTTTATCTTTCTCTAGATTACATGTAAAAGAAAACCAAAGTCGTTTCATCAATATAAAATTATGCCACACTTCTGCTTTGTCAGTTAGAGGACATGTGTCCGAAAACATCATGTTTCAGTTCGCGAGTGAGCATCGAGCGCCACTGTGTGTCGTCTGTCATATATTAGGCAACGATTGATGGATGAGCAGTGCGAGTCCACATGCTTTTGAGAAGCAGTTTAAGAAATTATGATCTTTTGTTTTATTTATGTCTGTGGAAAAGGTAAAATACTCATTTACTTTTCACAAGTACACAGATGACTTTTCTTAAGGAAATTTAATACATTTGTCATCACATGTGTTTGTAAATCGCAAATGTCACAAATGATTTTTGCCGTTTCGCACAGTGTAAAGGTCACTGTTCTCAAACATGTGCGTACACAAAAACACAAGGATGACATGAATTCTGTGCTGAAAAATTAAATTTTTCTGTGGAAACAAAGGACCAAAGTGTTATTAACCGTTTGAGTCCCAGGGGGTATTGAAAAAACACTGTTGAAGAATCCCAAACAGCACAACCACGCTTTCCCTAAATAAGTACGAAAAGAACCAAGCAGTGCGACAGGGCTTGTTTTATTTTATGTCAAGAAATACCATGTAGCGCAATAGCGCTTTGTGTATTTTACATCAATATGCACTTGATTTAAATCAAGTGCCCACATTATCAACATCAAGTGCACCGTCAGTTGTCCACAGTGTTCGAAATGTACTGAGTTTTCTTGACATAAAATCTCAACAGTGAGATTGCGCTGCTTGGGACTTAAAACGGTTAACGCAGAATGCCTCTTTTCTGCCTTTTTGCAGCGGCCGAGCGGTAAAGACGCTGAACACTGGTAGTTCGGTCCGAGGTACGAATCCTGCGAATGGGCTGGCTGCACGGGCGTTTTCATGGTTTTCCCCATGCGTAACGTGTATACGAACCAGTTTCCCTTGGAAAGTCCTCCACGAAGGCATTCCTCACTTTAGGCAGATAGCACTTATGTGCTTTGCCATAATTGAATTTCCAATCTCCTTTTACTAATAACAACTGCCACGAAGATCGACATGCTGCGCTTTTTAGAAAATTGTTTCCCGAGAGCGAAATCGCTAAGAAATACTCAAGTGCAAGGACCAAAATGGCTGTATTTGTAAAAGAAATGAGCATGAAAAATAAATCTTCAGTTATTGATTGCATTAAAACAGTTCCATTCTGCCTCTCCACGGACGGAAGCTGTACTACCGTTCCAAAACTGTATCAATTTTTTTTTTTTGAACCCAATGTCTTCAGAAATTGAGTGTAAGTTCACTTTTTCTCCCCATGTTAGAAGGACATTTGACAGGCTTTAATATAGCACAGTTAATTATTAAAACTTCAAAAGAAAATACAATTCCTCTGAATAACTGCCTAGCATCTGGTGCCGATAATGCACGAGTAATGGTAGGCTTTAAGACTGGTGTTGCAGGCGTCTTGAAAAAAAGGAAAATTCAGATTTGCAAATTAGGAGGTGCATCTTTCTCCTCTTAAATATATAGCAGCTGAAAAGGGGGAAATTTCTTTACCAATAAGTGTGGATCAACACATTCTTGATATTTATTCTTGACCTTTAAAGAGGTTCTGAAAGGAGGGGAAATTGAAACTATTCCAACAGCTGCATAAATAAGAAAAGATTTGAAACATGTATCTATGCAGTAGCTATCTTTAAAGAAATGTTTATCTAGAATCCTCACACAATGGAATCTACTTCTTGCATTTTTTAAAGAAGTAAATGCTTCTAGAGTTAAAGATAAAAGGCTCTACTGAATGTTTCAAAACACCTTAAGTAAATGAAAATGTAGTTACAGCTTCTGCTGTTAAAAATAGGTTTTAGAAAAAGAAAGTTATTTCTGCACCAGTAAGCAATTTAATTGGCAGTTCTCAGAATAATGCTACAAAATATAAGCGTAAAGTTAATACACATTTCTCTTGAAATAAAAAAGTTGTCTATGAGATAACTTGTGGTTGGCAGCGTATGTGTTAAATGAGAAGACTGAGAGTGAAAATTACTAAAAACGATAGGATTATTGGTGAACAATTTAAAAAACAAGTGCTTAAAAATTATTACAGTAATCTGTAATTTGTTATGTAAGTTTCTGTTTCCAGTTTTTGTAGAATTAATAGTAGAAAGAGTTTTCTTAACATAGTACATACAATTTGTTTCAGTTCAGCAATTTTTGGAGAGTGTAGTATTCTATGTGCAGCAATAACTATATTATTGCTAATTACCTGAAGTAACAAGTACATTATTTTTTAGTATTGATTATATCTGCTGAAAATCATATAAAATCATTTGAAACTTTTACCTTTCAGTCATGTAAATAAATGCCTTGCATTGTATTGATGTCTTGATTATCATATAGAAAGATATTGTTGAAGCAGTTGAACATCTAAATTTTTTTTTTATCTTTGATGGAAATGAAATTTTTCCTTATATTTCTTTAAAATGTGATATACTAATAAAATTTCATAGATGTATGTATTCTTGGAACCATAAAAGACTTCTTAGGTTAAAAAAAACTTCACAAGCAGGAACTTCATATTCCCCCCCTCCCAAAAAAAAGTGTATATGCATGTTTCAAGTTTATTTCAAAATTTTAAAACAAATTTTTCAGATGGAAATACTATAGAATTTTTTCTTAACTGGAAGCTACAGGACCTTGCTGATTCCAGATAAAAGATTTTTCTTGATAGTTGAGTGCATATTTTTAGAACTTAACCAATTAATGTTTTGTAATGGCAGCAGAAACTATAGTATACGAAGTCTGCTGGTCATGTTTTTAGATCTATTGATCACAGTTAAATAAATGATATAAAAATTGTACAGAATGCTTAAAATTAAAACATGTATACAAGATTTTATATTTGAGGGAAAAAATTACATAGCATTTTTAAAATTACAAAATATATTATCAAATTGTGAATTCCTTAGTGTGACAGCATATAGCTTTGAATGTATACCTTCTTTTCTCTTCAGAGTATTAAAAATTCAATGAAGTGCAATGAAGCCTCATAAAATCATTTTTTTGTTAGAGATGAACATTGCTGAGCAAAACTTATGAATATCAGTAATCTTTCATCAGCTTCTTTTCACATAACTTTTTTGCTGTGCCTGTTATCTTCATCGTCATCCTACTCCTACCTCCTCATTTTTTCTCCTTTCACAGTACATGTTCATTTATCTCATCCATCATATTGAAAGAATGATAGGAATAGAGTTGTCTGTACCCACCCAAGCCTGTATCTGCTTTTATATATGCCTGTACCTGCCTATACATACTCTTCACTAACTTTCTCCAAGTATATTGATCAGAGATGTTGGATACGTGTTCCAGGGCTTTGGAGTCGGGTAGATTTTTGGGTAAAAGGAGTTGGAGTTGCTAAAAAATACGTCGACTCCGAGTCCAGTTTTTATTGAACAGTTTGAATTTGAAATGAAATTAAAGTGAATTGAAAAAAAAAAATTAATGACAAACTGAATTAATATGTTTATTTATGGAATAGTTATTTTCTATTTTATTGACATATTAGTAAATAAATATAAGGGAGCAAGATGGCCTAATGGTAACAGCTTTTCTTCCTACTCAAGTCAGTGTGGAAAGACTCTTTTCAAATCTGAAGTTTATCAAATTGGATCTATGGTCCTCTAACAAAGAGGATCTTACCGAAGTTTTACTGTTTCTTAGAAATTAGTAATGCTAGTTTTTCCATTTCATAATAAATGCTAATTAATATAAAAAATTTGCTATGCATCAATTTTTTTCTGTAGCATCTATTACTTCTTTTATATTAAAAAAAATAAGCTGTATCCATGTGTATATGTTTACGTATATATGAAGGAGTCAGAGTCGGAGCTGGTCATTTTCCCTACCGACTCCACACCCCTGACAGGTGCCGACTTGCTTTTTAAGTTAAGAGAATCTGTCACTTGGCTTGGTATCTGTTAACATGATCATAGGCTACAGTTTATACCAACAATGATACAAAGTAGTTCTTTACAACTTTTCAGACAAGAGAGTAAGTAAATGTAACATCTTTCAATGTGAATTATTACTGAGAGAGATGATTTATACATCAAAGCATAAAAAGAAGTTGGTAATTCATGTTTATATTCTAAACAACTCCTCAGCAACATTGATTGGATAAGGCTTGTCATGTTGGGTGACAGAAACATAATACAAATGTTTTCTGCATAAGCTTCAGATTAACCCAAGACATTTTTTATTGCATAGGCTTAATTTTTCATTCAGATTTAGACCTTCCAAAAGTGCCATTATTTTGATATTACTAAGTTAATTGGGTGCAGTTATGAGAGATTTTACTGTACCTTTTATTTTTAATTTCAGTGTATGTAAATTGCATTCTTCTTTTGACTGTTACTTATGGTATCATTTTAATAAATATAGTTTAGTTTCTTTTCTTATTTTGATGACCTCACTGAGCTTACATGTATTGTATTCTAAAACATTTTGTCTTTTCTTGTAGTTAAGTAGTGTAAACATAGCAAGTCTGATGAGAGGGAATAGAACATATATGTCGAGATTTTATGCTCATTTATTTTATCCTAATGTAGATATTACATGGAAAAAAAGCTTTTTGTAGTTGAACTAAAAAAAAATTTTTTTTTCAGTAATGTATTAGAAATTTAGATGTAATCTTTCCGTCATATTGCAGTACTTTTATGGAAAAAACTCATTATTATTTTTTCCAGATAAACTAGGAAATCTCTTTTCTATGATGTTACCTGATTCTCCAGAAAGGACCAACTTTTTAACTAATGCCCTGAAGTGGACAAGTAAGAATACTGATGGTTGTGGAAACTCTTTTGGACATCCACGATTACACCAGTCTGTAGCACTGACCCTTTGGAAAGGTATGTTTTGTCATACATGTATTTCAAAGTATTGACATGAATAGTTTAATTTTTTTTTCTGTTATTACCAATAAATGTTATGCATTGTGAAACTAATTATTTAAAGATCATAGTAATTTATTTTAATTAACAATTAATTTATAATAGTAGTATTTAGAGATAACTATCAAACTGAAGTACCTACAAATACAGAAAAATTATTAGACTCAAGAAGTATTTTCAGAATAGTTTAACTTGTTAAGTATAAGAATTTCAGTTTATTGACCTAGTTTAAAACTTAAACTTAGTATGAGAACATTTTGCATATCTGAAAGTTTTGATTTGATGTTATTTTAATAGCCTCATCATAGGGCCATATTGAATAAGGTTTAGGCTGAGTTTTCTTTTGTTGGTTATTCTCTATTGCTGCAGTTTTCTTTTTATGGTGGACTAAAAATGTTTTATCTGGTTCATATCTTGACTATTTCCTGTTTTAGGTAATATTTATGAATGATATTTAATTTAAAAATTAAAAACTAGTATCATACTTTCTGGTGTATGAAAAATACTAATTTTTCAGAAAACTAGCTTTGTATTTGATGCAGAGTTCATGTTGCTTATTATTTTTGTCTCATAGTTCCTTCTGGCCCACCAGTGGATGAGCAGTAAAATTGCTGATCACTGGTTTTGAACTTGGTTTGATTCCAGGCAAACAAGCATTTTTATGGTTTTTGTCATGTCTAGCATGAATATGAGCCAGTTTCCCTCAGAAATTCCTCCACGAAAGCCTCAACTCCTGTCAGCTAACAGCTGTTTGCTAAGAACTTATGCGGAATGTGGCTTTCAAATAATCTAGGGCTAAGACAGATTGGCTAAATATTATGCCTGTTAACAGCTTGGCTAAATCTCTGTGATAGATTTGATATTGTAGGTGGAATGTAGATTTTGAATAATCTAGAAAAGTTGATGTCAGAAAAAAATAAATTATAATATTTTATTGTTATATAATGGATGTAGAATACATGTCAAGTAACAAAATTCAATTTTCTTTTGCTTGTAATTTGAGTAAAAAGAGAAGCTGGTCAAAAATTAAAAAAGGTAGTTATTTTTAAATTTTTTTTTTTAAATATCGAAAACAGTTATTTTGAAATATTGTTTTCCACAAAGACATGATATTTCAGGAATAGCCTATTCTTAGTACTTTAACATTTTAAAACAGAAATAGCAAGTTTCTTTTATGGCATCCTTGAAACTTAATGACTTAAATCATCACCTACCATCATACTCTTTCATAATCAGTCAGCTTGCCATGCATTTCTAATAGCTATCACATTGCCATTTATGCAAATTAGTATGTATTTCTATCCATGTTACATACTTAGCAGTTTGCGGATTCGTTAGTTGAAAGAATGACAGTAACTGGTCATTCAGTTGCAAAGTGTGTGTTTGATTTCCATTATTGATCATATAGATGCTGTTATTGGAATAATATTTTTTAAAAATATGTTCAAAATTTTAAATATTCTTCATGTCACTTGAAGATATTAACTTAATTTTTCTTGTCGGAAGTCAAATAACTTTCAAATTATTGCTGATTTTATTTGCTGTTAATAAAACTGTGAAATTTTTTATTATCTTTTCTTTCTTTATTTTTTTAACCTGATAACATTATATATGTATATTTTTGTAATATTATTTTCTAAAGATGTACTAAAATTAAATTTAACTTTACTTATTCTTTTGAAGCAATAATATATATATATATATATATATAATTTAAAAAGTAATACTTCAAGCTATAGCCTACGTGTAAAGTGATACTTCGTTCCTATGCAAATAAGTATAAACACACAGTAAATATCCAATTGCAATATAAAATGTAAAAACATAGAATGTATGAAAAAATAAGAAAGAAAAAGCTAAAGATGAATGCTTAACTTGATTGGAATTTAAAAATAAAAATATATGTAAAATAAAGTGTGAGCTATCTCATTACATATCAGAAAAAATACGACAAAATATCATATTAAAAATAAGAACTGCAAGCAGCGGTAAATGGAATAATTAGCCTAATTCGAACATCATCATGGACTTTTCGAGGGAAATGCATATTGATAGTCAAACTCTGATAAATTCCAGAACGTGTTTCGTCGAACAGGCATTGAGACTGATAGCCAACAAATTATTTATCATAAAAAGTCCCAATATAAATTTAAACCAAGTGTCAAATTCTCTGTTCCATTTCCCGACGCGTCCGCTGTGAACCAGTACACGAGAAATAGTCAATTAATGCAGGGAAAGTAAATAGGCCGCCTGGTAAGGCAAACTTACAGTAATAAAATAAATAGGGAAATTGCTATTAGTCAAAAAATACATGAACCTTCTAGTGTGAAAAGATATAACTTTTAAAAAAGGAGTAATGGTAAAAATGTCTTAGAAAGAGAAAAAAAGATTAAAATTGGGCCAGTTTGTGACCAAAATTCATAACTACAAAATGTTGAAATAAAACATACCTGAATGAAAGACTTCTTTCTGCTAGAAGCTGTTATATAAAAATGGCCGACATAGGGTGTGGAAAGTAACGACAGAAAAGAGTGAAGAAAATGAGAATTAAATTAACTAATTGGGCGAGACTACGCCAAGGGGGAAAGACACGTCAGGAAGCCAAGTCCAATGAAACGTAACTAACCGAGGGGGAGAGTCCAAAAATATGGGGGGGGAGGGAAATGTGCTGAAGGAAGCTTTTTTTAACATGTTGCCTGTCCTGTGCGAGGTTCAATTTTTGAAAGGAAGGAAAGGTGAATACAAAAAATGGCTAATTTTACTCTTGGTGAATTTGGCCAATGACAGTAGTTGAAATCGGAAAAAATACAGTATTTTGTTAGTAAAAGTCGTAATTCTTCAAGCTAGAGAGCTATCAAGCTGATCTTTTAGAATCGAAATGGGGCCAAAAAAAAATTTAATAATAGGATAGATTTATAGCTAAATACACAACTAAAGAATTTGAAGTACTGAGCCAAATGTGGAGAAAAAAAAAAGTATCAGTGAATAAACATTACATTACATATCACACATTTACCTTCCTTTTCTTAAGTAAATAATATCATTATCTAATTCAAATAATCTAAAAAAAACAGGTTAATGCCAGCTTTTTTAGGGAATTGTTAATGATTATAAGTATGGTATAAGATTGTCAATTAAGTTGAAGCGCTTCAACTTACAACCACTACCTTTCTCGGATGGAAAGCTGCATTAATCCACGAATTTAAACTTGAGCTCTTTGAACTGCCTAGTTTCAGTAAAGTCCACAATAAGAAACATCTTGAATTGCAAATTAACCTTCTACAAGAAAGCTTTGCCATCACCAAAGTAGAGAAAGCTAGTACAGTACAAAGTCTTTAATCTGGAAGTCCATAATCCGGAATGACCTATAATTCGGACATCAAAGCTACAAACTTTCTGCGCATGCGTAGTGATTACGCATATGCATTTACACATGCGCATAATACCTTTACGCTTGTGCATATGTGTTTAAGCATGCGCGTTTAATGTATAACAAAAGGTGTAAGCTAGGCTAAAATTATCTAATTATCTATTTCAGTTAATGTTGCAGATTGCGCTGTTCCCTAATCTTCTAATTGGATTCAGCTTATTATTTTTTGCAGACTGTTAGAGCAATTTTATAAAAAGTAATCTTGAACTTTCGATTATGTCAAAAATTCTGGAGCTGCCAAAGGATCTACAAAGCGAAAGCATGTTTCGATGTCTATAAAACAAAAAGTGGAATTGCTGCAAAAAATGGATAAAGGCATGAAAAAAATGATAGAGAGGTTAGTGTAAATGAAAAAATTTCGATTGACAAGTTAGTCTGTATTCTCGGCACAGGAATTACAGGACTTGAACAGCGGAACTTTGTAACTGAACAAGAAATTATGTCTGTTTATAGAATTAAAGAGAAAGTATTAGCACATAAAATGAAGCAACTTAAACAACTTACATTAAAAGAAATGTTTAATAAAGTAAACAAATAAATATTAAGCTTTTTTTGTAAATTTTGATGCCCTTTAGATCATAATTGCTCTTTATTTCATAAATTATGGTTTCATATTTTTAATTTTATAATTTCTGTATGACATCTTACCAGATTTAAATTGATGATTTCTATTCCGGAAAAACCCATAATCCGGAATTGCCGAAGTCCTGACGAGTCCAGATTAAAGATTTTGTACTGTAATAATTTTTGTATCATCTGAAAAAAATTTTATGCAACGTACAAGAATTATGAATTACTGGCACCTATACACAAGTCTCTACCAGCACTAAAATACTTTTGAATAAATTTAATGCACTTCATAAAAGACTTGAGATCTGTCCTAACAAATTTATTAATAGATTTGCCAATATCTATGCACTGCCTAAGTTTCATAAGACACCAGTAAAGTTCAGATATATAGCCAACAGTACCAGAAGTTATTTCAAAGAAATTATCTCTTTGCACAGAAACTTAAACTCATTCAAAGTGTAATTAACAATTTTGATTTTCAAGAGAAGCATTACAATTGGATTATCTCTAACCACGATAAAATTATTGTAACATTAAACTCGCTGGAAATAGAACATATTTAAAATGCTATGATTTTTAAAAACTTTACACTACTTTACCTCTTGAAAAAATTTATAATAGTTTACTTACTTTACCTAATTTATTTCCTCAGATCACTACAATTATTTCTACTGAAAATTGGCAACTGTTCTTAAAAAGTGTACTTTTTAACAATTACATTAAATTTAATAACATCTTTAAGCAAGTCCAAGGTTTCCCAATGGGTGGAAATTTTTCAACAGCAATTTGCAAAATATTCCTGTTTACCCAAGAATATAAGTTTATGACTTCACCTAAAAATTGAAGATTACGAATACTTCCAGCACATCTTTCATTATATAGATGTTGTTATTGCATTTAACAACTTCAACAAAATAGAGAACTCAAGTATTTACCCCCCACTTGCCTCAAGCTAAATGCCACTAATACTGTTCAAAATGATATAGCGTACCTTGATTTGCATATTTTGGATTACAAACTTATCAAAATTTACGACAAGCGCAGAGATTTCAATTTCCTTACACTAAAGTTAATTAATTGGAATTATAATATTTCAAAAAGAGTCATAGTCAACACAATTAATGCGCAACTTCTCAGAATTAAAAGAATCTGTAATAATGCACAACACTTACAAGAAGAAATTTACTGTGTTTTTAATATCTTAATTGACAATCTTATAACACATGCAGTCATTAAAAATTCTCTAAAAAAGGCTGGCATTAACCTGTTTTTTTAGATTATTTGAATTAGATAATGATATTATTTACTTAAATCCTGAAGGAAGTAAAGGTGGATGGCTGATTTAAATGATCTAATGTAAAAATGTATAGCTTATCACTCTCACTACTTAAAAAAAATTTTCTCTCCACATTTGGCTCAGTACTTCAATACTTTGTTCTTAATTTGTATTATATGTAAATTGATATCTTTTTCTGGACAAATCTATCCTGTTATTAAATTTTATGGGCCCCATTTCAATCTAAGCAGCTTGATAGCCCTCTAGCTTGAAGAATTACGACTTTTACTAACAAAATACTGTATTTTTTCCAATTTCAACTGTTTTTGGCCAAATTCACCAAGAGTAAAATTAGCCATTCTTTGTATTCGCCTTTCCTTCCTTTCAAAAATTGAACCTCGCACAGGACAGGCACAATGTTAAAAAAAAGCTTCCTTCTACCACATTTCCCTCCCCCCTGTAATTTTGGACTCTTACCCTCGGTTAGTTACGTTTCATTGGACTTGGCTTCCTGACGTGTCTTTCCCCCTTGGCGTAGTCTCGCCGAATTGGTGAATTTTATTCTCTGTCTTCTTCACTGTTATCTGTCATTGCTTTCCACACCCTATTTCGGTCATTTTTGTATAACGGCTTCTAGTAGAAAAAAGTCTTTCATTCAGGTATGTTTTTCATTTCATCTTTTCGTAGTTGTGAATTTTTGTTATAAAACTGGCCCAATATTAATCTTTTTTTTTTTTCTCTTTCTAAGGCACGATTTTTACTATTACTCCTTTTTTAAAACTACAAGGTTCACCACACTAAAGGTTCGTGAATATTTTGACTAATAGCAATTTCACTATTTATTTTTTATTGCTATAAATTTGCCTTCAGGCATCTTATTTACTTTAATGCATTAATTAAATATTTCTCTTTTACTGGTTAACAGCAGATGCATCTGGAAATGAAACAGGGAAATTGTGATCTGGTTTAAAATTGGTATTGGGACTTTTTAATAATAAAATAATTTGTTAGCTATCAGTCTCAATGCCTGTTTGATGAAACGCGTTCTGGAATGAGCAGAGTTCGAATATTAATATGCATTTCCCTTGAAAAGTCCATGATGATGTTCGAATTAGGCTAATTATTCCATTTACCACTGCTTGTGGTTCTTATTTTTAATATGATATTTCGTTGTATTTTTTCTCATATGTAATGAGATAGCTTACACTTTATTTTACATACATTTTTACTTTTAAATTCCAATCAAGTTAAGCATTCACCTTTAGCTTTTTCTTTCTTATTTTTGCATATATTCTATGTTTTTACATTTTATATTGCAGTTGGAAATTAATATGTGTTTATACTTATTTGCATAGGAATGAAGTATCACTTTACACATAGGCTATAGCTTGAAGAATTACTTTTTAATTTTATTTTCAAATTTTGCAGCTAAATGTGCAAAATTTTTTGACCTCAGAGGTCCTTTTTATAATATATATATATATATATATTAGCTTTAATATTTCTTTTCATCAAATTGTTTTCCAATACTTATTTATATATTGTGCTATGTATGCATTATGTATGAATTGTTATATTAGTTACCATTGTTGGTTTTGTCTAGTAACATATTCTGTATTGTTTATGGAGAAATGTTCCTAATGTTTACCATTTTTCCTTCTTTCTTTTTTTTTTTTTAAAAAAAAGAAAAAAATTATCAGCAGTCACGGTACCATTTCATTCATTCAACTGATGGTGATGGTTGTGCCACTATGTTGATTGAATACCACATAACAAAGGGTTATCCAAGTGAAGTGGATTTATTTATAGCGCAGACAGTGCTTCAGTAAGTTTTTTCTTCCCTCAATGTATATGAAATGGAAGTTTTTGATTTAAATTTTGTTTTTAATTTTTGCATGTCAAAATTAAAATGTTCTCGTCTATTTTGATAACTGTATGAAATTTTTAAAAAATATTATCAGAAATTATTCGTGTCAATATTTTTAAATGAATGCACAGTATTTTTTTTATTTTTAGGATAGAAATTTTAAATATAATAATATATATAAATATTCAGTCTGCAGGAAAGTTCTGTCCATTTCTCTTAACAACCATTTTCGACATTGTAAGCACATGTTTATTTGGCACATGTTCAGCTCTGTATTTGTATCGATTTAGGTGGTCAAGTGTACGTAGCAAATTAACTAAAGCAAAGTTGATTAAGTTCATTTACACCACTGTATTTTATCGAGTTTCAACAAGGAAAAAATGCTACGAAAGAATGTAGAAATTTATTAAAAGTGTTTAACGAAGGTACCGTTTTTGATAGGACATGCAGAAGATGGTTCGGAAAATTATAAATAGGTGATTTCGATCTTTCTGATAAGCCATGTTCTGGGCGACCATCTTTGATTGACGGCGATGTTTTTAAGACGTGTTGGAGCAAGATCCTTTTCTGACAACATAGGAGATCACAGAAAGGCCTAATTCAGCTTGGCAAACCATTTCAGACCATGTTCGGACAAATTGCCCTCATGCTGCCAAGAAGGCATTAATAATAATGGCAATTATGTTATTTAATAAAGTTTATTGATAATAAGAAAAATTTGTATTTTGTTTTATTCCAAAAACGGACAGAACTTTCTGGTGAACCGAATTATATAAATTGTTTAAGTTTATTAAATATATACAGTACAAAGTTCGTAATCCGGACTCGTTGGGACTTCAGCGATTAGGGGTTTTTCTGGTTTATAGATAATCAGTTTAAATCTGGTAAGATGACATGCAGAAATTATACAATTAAAAATATGAAACTGTAATTTATGAAATAAAGAGCAATTATGATCTAAAGAGTATCAAAATTTACAGAAAAAAGGCTTAATATTTATATGTTTACTTTATTAAACATTTCTTTTAATATAAGTTGTTTAAGTTGCTTCGTTTTATGTTTATGTGCGTTTTCTCTTTAATTCTATAAACAGACATAATTTCTTGTTCAGTTACAAAGTTCCGCTGTTCAAGTCCTGTAATTGCTGTGTCAAGAATATCGACTAACTTGTCAATTGAAATTTTTTTTGTTTTCAATAACCTCTCTGTCACTTTCTTCATTATCAGAAGTGGTATTTTCTGGATCTAGAACCATACTACAGATTTCGCCGTCCGTTGATTGCTTGATGATTGGGGCATTGTCATCACAATGAAAAACTTTTGTTATATCATCTTCATTTATTACCGCTTCTCCACATTTCTTTACAAAATCCAATAACTGGAAAATTTCACCTTTAGTTTGCAATGTCCGAAAACCTTCAAATTCGCGGCTATCATCTTCATTGTCCTCACCATGAAATATGGTAGCTGGCCATAAATTATGCCAATCATTTTTTAACGTATCTGCAGACACATCCTCCCAATACACATGCGTAAAGCATACAAAAAAAAGTTTGTGCCTTTGAGGTCCGGATTATAGATCATTCCGCATAATGGATGCTCAGAATGTATATAAATTTATTCCGATTCTTACTTTATAAATGTTTGTTCTTTTTTTTATCATTTATCATTGTTTTTGCCTAATACTTGAGCTGTTTTATATGTTTGGATTGATCTTTCCAATAAAGCCATATGTAAAAACATATATAAATTGCTTTGGTTTATGTGTAGCTGTTATATATATATCGTTTTATTATTTTAAATAAATTGAAGTAAGTTAATCTATTCAGGCATCATCAAAAGCGGCTGTCTGTGACTTTGGAAGCTGTTAAATGATGGCTATATAACATGAAAATTCATGACTGATTTATTTTTTTTAAATACTGTGTCTGCAGTTTTTATCATTTTATTTTGTAACTAACTAAAGAATGATCTGCTCATAACTTCTGCCAGAATGATTAGCAACATCGCCACCAACTTTCATATTCAACCAGATTTCATAGTTGGTTCAGACATCAAAGCCATATTTCGTAGGCCTTAAGGCCTGAAAAATACATTTGCTTTGATGTCCGAAATGCATTTTTTCCCCAAAAAATCTTGTATAATTTTAAATGTAGTTTTTTGATATTCTAATTTGTAAACAAACAAGATGTTTAGTTTTATAATTTTACAGCAGAAAATTTTCCCATTGATTTGGCTTTTATGATAAACTGTACAGAATATGGCATTTCCAGAGCTTTCCGGGTATTCAAGCTTTTACTGTATGATGAATTTTCATGTACTATGATAATGTACTGTTATTAAATGAAAGAGGGCAATTAATTAAACCTTCGTATGACACAAGATTTAATTCCAGGCAGAAGGTATGGTTAATTTATCGGCTTTATTATCTCTGAAAATGTAATCTAGTGAACTCTGCAGTGGTGCTTTAAAAGCTACAATTCAATTTACTTTTATGTATATGTGTTTTCTTGTCAGTAACTCAAATAAAAAGTACCTACATTGTGTGTGCCGATCTCCTACCTAAGCTAACCAGCATGCATCCTAACATAAAAGAGCTGTGTAAGAATTGGCATCTATTCATTTCATCAAATTTGAATGCCAATATTTATTTTAGTTAATAAGGAAATTTTTTATTAAAACTCTCATAACCTTAAATTATTAAAAATTAATTAAAATTTGTTTTTGCTTATTTAATTATGCCCAAATTTATCGTTAACTACCTCAAAATAATGATACTGCATGAAATATCCAATAATTCTAATCCATTTTTGCAGAGAATATGTGAAAGACAAGCTCAATTAGCATTATACAATCCAAAGTGATTAAACGATTTTTGACATGCAAATTAAGACATTCCAACATCATGCAAATTGTATATATGAGTGAATTTCTGCAGTATAAAGTTTGATTTCAGTGTGTAAGGAATCAAAATGGTTTATTATAGCTCTGAAGTATCATTTGGAAGAATCTATGGAGTGGAAAATCTGTTGACCATTTAAAAGAGGGCAAAAAATCGTGGGAGCAGTGCGATGTGTGAATATTTCAAAGCAGACAGTCTCTGCATTATGGAACATATTTCAGAACTCTCGAACTATTGTAAGGAGGGATGGATGGACAAGGTAGTTAATGAATAACAACTGCTTCTCAAAACCACTATCCACCAATAACTGCTCATCGTAACAGGAAGTTTACTACTCTACAGTCAAGTTCAGAACTTGCAACTGCCACTGAAATTGCTGTATCACAGCAAATTGTATACAGAAGGCTGAGAAAAGCCTTTCTTTAATGAAAAACACACATTTTAATTGGCATAATGAACATCAGATCTTTAGTGAATACCAATCGTCCCATGTTCTCTCTACTGATGAGTCGAGGTTTAATTTAACATCTGATTTTAAATGTGTTTACATGTAGAGGAAGTCAGGAACATGAAATCTTCCTTTGATTCTTCCATGAAAGCTCTATTATGGAACGTGACCGTTTCAATAATGCAAATATGATGGTATGAGAAAGGGGAATAATGATCAGTGGATGTATGCTCCCACACATTTTCAACTGCGGATCTTTGACTGGCCAGATATTGGAATGAGGTAATATTAAACTTTACATTAAAGTTTTCATATGGATCTGAATTTTTATTTATGGACAATAATGCTTATCCACATCGAGCAGATCTTGATAAATTCCTTGAAAATGAAGACACTTAGCGAATACCGTGGGTAGCAAAATCTCCTCATCTTAACCAGATAGAACTTGCAGGACTATTTGGGGAAAGTAGTGCAAGGAGATATCCTCCTTCTAGAAATGTAAATGTTCTGAAGACGATATTGCTGGAGGAGTGGAATTGAATTCCCCAAACTGTGACTAACAATTTTATTGTCAATATGATAGCACATGGTGTTATGCATGCACTAGTCGGGAGAATATTTGTTTTTATCCTGAGCTCTCCTTGTAGCATAGTAGAATGACATTTATTATTTCATGCTATAGTTTTATATGATAAGCAGTGCTGATAAATGTTCCCTTTGTATGTATGTGTTATGTTATGTACCATTCCACATAAATTCATAAAATTGTAATTCACAGTTTCTGAGAAATCCATGGTTTCATACTTGTAAAGATAATATTGGACAAGTGTAAAAGTATATTGATAGAAACTTAAGCTAAAATAATTGCTTTCAAATGTGGAAAAGTAATGTTCTCCTGAGAATATTCTGATTTATATAAGTGGCCCTCACTTGAAGAAAGTTTGAGAATCACTGTCTAGACTAACCTTATTTTTCAGGAACAAATTTCAATCATAAAAAAATCTTAAGTTTGACAGTATCTTTGTTGATTACCATAGAACCTAGCCATTCAAATTATTCTGATTGTGGCAATAACTTCAATTGATTTGCAACTCTTAAAATTTTTAGTTTGGCACTTAAATATTTCTACTAACATTAATACCGTACAAAGTCCGAACTCCGGACTGGTTGGGACTTTGCCGATTCTGGATTCGGGATTTTTCCAGATAATAGATCATCTATTTAAATCTGGTAAGATGGCATGCAGAAATTATGCAGTTAAAATATGAAATCGTAATTTATGAAATAAAGAGCAATTATGATCTAAAGGGCATCAAATTTACAAGAAAAAAAAAAAAAAAAAAGCTTAATATTTATTTGTTTACTTTATTAAACATTTCTTTCAATGTAAGTTGTTTAATATGCTTCCACAAAAAGTTCCTTTTTCTTTTTCTTGGGCCATATACAGTGGACTTTCCAATGCCATACTCCTTGCATAATTTTGAGATGGATATGCCTTTATCCATTTTTTGCAGCAATTCCACTTTTTGTTTAATGGACATCCAAACATGGTTTTGCTTTGTAGATCCTTTGCCAACTCCAGAATTGGAAACTCTTTTCGATATAATCGAAACTTCAAGCTTAGTTGTTATAAAATTCCCGTAATAATAACAATCTGCAAAAAATAATAAGCTGGATTGAATTAGAAGATCAGGAGCAGCGTAGTCTGCTACATTAATTGAAATACCTTAGAATCAATAAAGATAATTTTAGCCTAGCTTAGTAGTGTCCATTATACATTATTGGCTGTGTATCACAAGATTGATGATGAAAGCCAAGTTGTTTCGCTAAATTATGTCTTCCTCCTATTGTGTACTGAATTAACCCTGAATTGTATTAGTTATTTACTATACCTATGTTTATTTCTTGCACATGCTTAACTAATCTGAGTCCTGAATAAATAAACTCTCACATATATTTAAGGCTTTATCTAGGGCCGGTGCTCGATACCACTTGGTGCAGTCTCTATGGGTCCTAAATTCTGTTATACAAAACGCTTTCCTAAGTTCTAAATTTTCACTGTGCCTAAACTTTGGATCCCAGTGCTTTCCCTAAATCATAAAAACTTCTCATCCCTTAATTTTGCCGCTTGGTGCTTCCCCTAAATTCTGCCGTCCAGTGCCGACGTATTCTGCCGCCGCTTTTGGGTTTATGGTAAATAGCATATTAGTTATTCTTAATTAAAATAGCACTAAATGTAATCTTTTGGCCTATGAGTTTCAAGCGTAATGTTAGCATAAAAGGTTGCCATACTCTTGTTATTCAATTACTAATATAAAAAAAAGTTTAAACATCACAGCATTAGTTATTCCTGAAGCCCTCATGTATTGATAAACATGCGATGATGAAAGCAAAATATAATAAATAATGACTTGCCAGGTCAGTGTCAGGGATATAAAATAGGTGAATGTTTCGGTTTGAGATGTATGCCATGTAGATACTCAGCTACGGAACACCAAATTATTAATCTAACAAATTTATGCTTACATGATTATTTCTCCATAATGAGGTATTTTATGTAGTGCCTGAGTGAAATTAAGAATCAGACTTTTTAAGTAAACATCTCCACAGGTTTTATTATGGAAGGAAAAATTAAATGTGCATGCGTAAAGCATTAAGAAAAAAAAAAAAAAAAAAATGTTTGTGGCTTGGAGATTAGGATTTTAGATTATTCAGGATAATTGACATCCGGATTTTGGACTTTGTACTGTATGTTACTTTTACTGATAGTAAGTTTGGCTATCCGTAGTGAACAGTAACACACTTAACAGTCTTTCTTTTTCCCACCTTAAATTGTATTTGTGGAAGATTTGCAAGTTCTGAATGCGTAGGTTTTGAAAGAACTTTTTTTTTTTTTTTTTTTTTTAAATGTCTTAGTAAGCAGAATTAGAGCTGCTGTTTTTCAGTTACATATCTCTTTAAAACACCATTCTTTGTCTGTGCATGTAACAAAACAATATGCAGAATTCATGTCAATGCAGAACCAAGCATTCACTTGCAATTATAAAGAACTTAACTAAGAAGACTATCCACAGAAAAGCAACCAACAATGATTTAAATATTTTTATATTGCCTTACTTAGGCATACAGTGCACTAGTTACATAATAACAAAATTGAATTGTAATTACCTTCCGAAAAAAAAAATAATATCTGATGTGTACACCACATGACTTCTTTGTACGGAATATTAAATTATACGCATATTTCCTTGCATTTTATTTAAACTTATTAGATTGAATTAAAGCTACTTCGCCGACAGCTCATAAACCACAATAGAATAAATGCATTTTTTAAAATTCACTTTGTTTACCATAGCGACACTCTGGCACTGGTTTACTTAACAGTATATATTCATTCATATTAAACTCAGAATCACAAATTATATCATTTAAGAATTATCTAATCGTTGCCACATGTTCTATTCAAATACTATAATAAGCTAGAACTATGTATAAAAGAAATTAAGCAAACAAAACAAAAAAGAAACAGTTTTTCACAGACGATTGAGTATTTCTCATTTAATTAATTCAGTTCTCACTTTGCAAGAAGGCAAAAATACATAAAAACTCAAAATATCTATATTAAAAATTACGAAGTAAATCTCAAATGCTTATTTCCTTGAAAATATTCCAGAAAGAAATAAGCATGATTTAATTGGCAATAATAAATGAAGGCGTTATCTTTGTTGTTGCGAAGCTAAGTTTCTCTAGATTGGCAACAAATCACTAGTCTCCTGTTTTCAAATGTAAACAAATCAATGGCCGCCATTAAAAAACTTGACGGCAATTAAACAACTTTAAAATTGCTGATAATTCTAAAAAAATTGCACACAGATTTACTAAAGGCATAAAATCCTTAACCGGAAGATAAAAAAACACATAATTCAATCATTTTTTTAAAGCAAAAAATGTACAATTTACAAACATATAAGAGTAAAGAAACTGAGATCACTGAGCCCGGTAACAGAGTGGATATATATATAATATATTTATATACGTTTGGTGCGGCCGATTGCAACCAAAATACGAGGTGCACATCTACATGTTATAGCAGTCCTATATACTATATAAAGAACTTATTACAAAATTTCAACGTTCTGAGGCTACTCGTTTTTGAGTTATGCGAGATATGTACGTACACACGCACGTACGTACATACAGACGCCACGAAAAATTCTCTTCAGAATTAATTTTAAAGCAGTTTTGTAATTTTTTTGAAGGAAAAGAGTATTTTATTCTGTCCTTACGTACAGATATCACGCAAAAACATCGTTAAATTGCATTCGATAGTGGTCAAAATGGATATTTTCGTTGAAATATGCTGCCTGAAACTTTTTGCGATTTGAATTGAATTGCATGTAATAATTTACTTACAGGGACAGAATTTATTCTAACAACATTAATAATGAATGCTCTCTGCAATAATATAAAATATCTTTTGTAATATTAGTCGGCATGATTTTATTAACTTTTAAAGAATCTTTATATATAGTATCACACTGAGGGAAGACAATTACAAAAAAAAAAAAAAAAAAAAAAAAAACCATTTCATTGGCATTGCAGAGTATCTTTTTCCTTCCCATGTAATATTATTCTTAAACATCATTAACTGATAAGACATAGGATAAGCATAAGGGGCTATGCTAGAGGAGTTGATTCAAGAAATGTTTGGAAAATGTTTAGGATAACTGTGCTAGACTTTTCCTTCTGAGATTTTTATCTGTTCCTGCTACTTCAAATTATCTCACTCAATGTATGAGTTCTCTTCTTTGGAGGCTTTCAAACAGCTGTTTGATAATTTCTTTACAAATAAACCTAGCAACTCTTTTAAAAGAGGAATTTACCAGCAGTTGGGGAGATGACAAAAAGGCATAAAAAATGTTGCATATGTGCCACAATGAAATTCTGTTATTTTTTGTACAACTTCATTTATATTTATCATGAAAGAAAAAAAAAAAAAAGGCAGAACTTTTTGGATGACCCAATAGTTCTTGAGCTTAAAATCAAATTCTGCAGTGCAGCATAAAAATAGGTCTAAGGAAGCTTATTTTTCATTTCTTTGGCTTTTTAGTATATAATTGGAATTAGAATATTCTATCATGCAACTTATAATGATGATGTGAATTTTTTCCAACATTGTATTTTTAAGTTCCTAGAAAATTTTGTTAAATTTTCTTAGTTTTAATGTTTCCTCTTCTTTTAGGTACTTGTGCCTTAAAAATAAATCTACAGCATCAACTGCATTTCATGCATATACAGAAAAGCACCCAGGTGTTACTTCGGGGTTTCCATTTTTGCTTCCCCTTCTAAATTTTCTTCAATTTTTATTACAAGCTATTGAAAGGTTTGTATATATAAGCATTGTATTTTTATTACATTTAATCGTATTCAATATGTGTTTACAATATATACACTGACTACCAATAAGTATTTGGACACCTGTGATAGAAAAGAAAAACTAACTTTATTCAAAATCAATAGTTGGTAGAGCCTCTATGAGAGGTAATTACAGCGTGGACCCTCCGGGGCATACTTTCCACAAGTCTTTGTATGACAGCTAGTGGTATTTTCTTCCACTCGGCTTGGAGAAGACATAGAAGTTCCTTCACCGATTTTGCACAGGTAGTACACCCCTGAATTCGGCGATGCAACTTGTCCCAGAGGTTCTCGATAGGGTTCAGGTCTGGACTGTGGGCAGGCCAGCCCATTCGATGAACTCCATTGGCCCCATACCAAGCCTTGGTTAACGTCGAAACATGAAACTGGCATTGCCGTCCTGAAAGTAACAGGGGTCGAACCCGTAAAACTGCCACAACGTAGGAAGCACATTGTCATCCAAAACAGTGCAGTAGGCATCGGAGTTCAGCTCACCATGAATGGGGACCAAGGGTCCCAGCCATACCAGGAGAAACACCCCCAGACCATTATTCCACCTCCGCCAAACTTGACTGTTGGCACAATGCATTTTACAGGAGACGTTCTCCAGGTAGACGCCAGACCCAGACCCTGCCATCCGAACGATAAGGTTGAACCTTGATTCGTCACTCCAAAGAACCCATTTCCACTGATCTACGGTCCAATTTCTATGTGCTTTGCACCACATTAACTGAGTAACTCGGTTGGACTTTATGATCAAAGGCTTATGGGCAGCAGCACGACCATGAAAACCAAGCAGATGTGCTTCCTTACAGCTGGTATTCATTGAAACAATACTCCCGGATGCCTGTTGAAACTCCTCGCGGATGAGGGCCATCGGTTGGGTGCGGTTCTTCCGAATTTCTCTGGGCAGCACTTTTCGGTTTCTATCTCCCAGTTTCGTTTGTCTGCCGACTTGGGGCACATTCCGACAATCACCGCTCACCTTCCACTTCTTAATCACATAGGCCACTGTTGATTTCGGGTACTTCAGATGGCTAGATATGTCCCTTAAGGATCGGCCACATTTGTTATACCCGATAATTATACCTTTTTCGAAATCAGAGAGCTCCGAACTGCGAGGCATCATGCATGCGACTAAAGCCGATGCTGTTTCCTACACGATATATACCAGCAGAGTTCGTTACCTACCTTAGGACTGCAGATATCGTCATTTGCATAGGTGTCCAAATACTTATTGGTAGTCAGTGTATTTCTGAATGTTTATTTGATTTCTGAATTATGTACAAAAGAATATTTTATTAATATTATAAAAATTTTTCGTTTTTAATTAAATTGTACAACCGCTGTCCAGAGTTGTATTCTCTTAAAATATCAAAGAGTGAAAAAATTTTGTTTATGCTAAAGTTAAGTATGCTTTTTTATATATTCATAAACTTCTAACAGAATTCATGCTCAAAACCAATTCTTGTAATATATTTTTATTTAACCAGGCTGATTTAATTTTAACTGTCCAAGTAGCTAAGCTTATATATTTGTTTAACTTAATATAAGCTTTATATATCTGTTTATATTTGGCAGTGAAATGAAAGAAAAATATCTGATGTGTACACCATATGACTTCCTTGTACAGAATATTAAATTATATGCATGTTTTCCTGAATTTCATGTAAATTTATTGAATTTAATTAAATCTACTTCACCGATAGTGCATAAACCACAATAGAATAAATGCGCTTTTTTAAAATTCACCATATTTATTTGCCATAGTAATACTCTGGTGCTAGGTTCACTTAACAGCTTACATCTCATTCATTTTGTAACTCAGAATGCAGAAAAAAATTATATCATCTGATGAATTATCTAATCATTGCCACATGTTCTATTCAAATACTATAATAAATCTAAAACCATGTATGAAAGAAATTAAACAAATAAAATATGACCAGTTGTTCAGAGACGATTCTGCACTACTTACCTAATATGCATGCGCTACTCGTAAACATTCTGCTCTGTCCAAAACAGAATGGTGGCAGTATTTTCTGTTAATATGAAATGCTTATTTCCTCGAATTTCATTAGAGATGTATTTTCTCATTCAATTAATTCAGTTCTCACTTCATGGCAAGGCAAAAATAATGAAAACACAAAATATCTTCATTAAAAGTTTAAAGATATAAGAAAACATAAAACACCAAAAACAGTTAAAAAATTTTTTTGACAATTAAAATTAGTTTCTACACAAAAGCAAGCAATTCAGCCAGCGTGCAAGAAGACAGATTTTTCAGTGCACGAAACTGAATGTTTACTTTTGGTTTCACTCGGCAAAAAGACACTGAAGGCTTAGAAACTAATTAAATTTGTTGTGGACGCTATGCTGTCAATATATGGGATAATTTAATAATCTACATGATAATTCCAGAATGGATTAAGCATAATTTAATTCACAATAATAAAAGAAGACATTACTTTGTGAAGCTTAGTTTCTGTAGATTGGCAACAAATCTACTATTCTGCTGAATTTCAAATGTAAACAAATATGGCTGCCAAGGGAATAAAAATTAGGCTTAGCCGCACTTAAACAACTTTTAAATTGTTGATAATTATACAACTAAAACATGAAGGTTAATGAAAGGCATAAAAACCTTAACGGGAAGATAAGAACAATGTAATTCAATCATTTTTAAAGCAAAAAATGCACAATTTACAAACATATAAGAATAAAGAAACTGAGCTCGCTGAGCAGAGTAACAGTGGATCTAAAAAATTGGCAAAAATTTTATATACTTTTGATGTGGCCGATTGCAACCAAAAATGGAGGAGCACATCTATGTGTTATACCAGCCCCTCATACAAAATTTTAACATCCTAAGGCTATTTCTTTTTGAGTTATGCAAGATACATACATATGCACGTACACACGCCACATAAAAGTCTATTTTAAATCAGTTTTATAATTCGTTTGGGAAAAAAAGAGTCCCTTAGTCTGTCCTTAAGTACAGATGACACACAAAAACATAGATTGCTTTCGATAGCAATCAAAATGCATATTTTCATTGAAATATACCTAAAATTATTTGCAATTACTTCATACAAAGAAGTAAAAAGAGTCCTGCTACAAAGTTTTAAATGCTTATTTTAGAGTTATAATTAAGAAAATGTCTCTTACTCATGACTATTTTGGGAACCTTTAGTGATTTAAGACAGATATATGCACTGCTTCTTCATGGCACAAGTTATTCTACTCTGAACTTCGTCCTATGGAGTAAATATTTTTTGTCATTTTTTGAGAACTTTAAATTCTGCTATATATTTCTTTAAATATAACATCCTCACACCATTGTACATTATTTTAGCTCCACCTGAATGAATGACAGGTGAATGGTAGAAATTCGTCCTGGGTTTGAACTTGGGCAAAAGTGGTGCCTGCATGGTTAGTTTTCATGGTTTTCCCTATGTGTGATGTAATTGTCCTGGGTTTGAACTTGGGCAAAAGGGGTGCCTGCATGGTTAGTTTTCATGGTTTTCCCTATGCGTGATGTAGTTATAGACTTTGTAATTGATTTCTGCATTGGTGGATTATCTCTTGTTATCAGTGATTTAACTTTGGAAACAGTGTGTACCTTTTTCAGGCATTTAGTCTTCTTTTGAGGTAGAAGTAATGATTGTTTTTTTTTTTTTTTTTTTTTTTTTTTCTCTCTTTTAGATTAATAATGTTGCCAAAGTTGCCAACTCTCCCGATTTTCGACCGATCTCCCGCCAACCCGATTTACAATATATTTCCTCCCTTTTTTTCTTATTTTAAAAATTTCTTTCTCACGATTTTTATGGAACTTGGCTTAATACTTGTTATATGAACAAAAGTGATTTTGGACGTCTGAAAGCAATTGAATTTTCTCTAGATTATATCTAAAACAAACCTTAAGAATCAGATAATTCTGCTTTGTGAGTGAGAGCATTATACGTATCCCAGAAACGTCGTTCTCCAGTTCTCCAATGGGCATCGAACTCCACTGCGTGTCAGCTGCATATATTAGCCAATGAGGACAAGGCAAAGAAGTGTATTGTTAAGAAGGAAAGCTTCGCAGTAGCAGATTGGCTCCCTCCGAACGAAAAGGGACACAACTGCGGCATGCGTGAATATCTGTCGCCGAAAAGCGCCAAAGCTCGAAGCTGATGTCGAAGTTCAACAGGTTCGACGGTCATGTTTATCAAGAGTTTCTGTGTGACTCCTTTTTTTTCCCAACATTTGACAGATATAAAATCAGACCACAAACTGCGATATGGATAATACAAGTTCAACTAGTAAGCAAAAAAGCACCGAAAATCGAGTTTAAATTATCGCGAAAAGTCCAAAGAACGATTCATCTTAACCCTTATTCCTCAATTTCCTGTACACGTAGCGGAGGTGGAAATCTCGGCCAGGTACATCACAAAGGGGGAAATTCTCGTCAACAGGTTCCGTCGCCAATCCCTGGCGAATAGTCCCTTTTCTTTGTAGCGCGTAGAAAACAACTGGTTTACATTACGTCTATGGAGCCTTTCCTTCTTTACATTCCAAGCTGTTATTTGGATGTTCTTTAGTTATTTCGTTCAATTTGTTGCTGAGTTGTGTGAGTGCACGTGCCTTTGGGAAAGAGAGTTTTAGAAATTATCGTCTTTTGTTGTGTCTGCGAGAAAGGTGAAATACTCGTGCACGTTTCAAAAATCGTACAGTTGACTTTCCTTCCATTATTTCCTCAAGGAAATGTAATAAATTTGCGATGTGCACCGCCTGTCATTGCGATTTTTCGAATTCATAATGTGAAGGGCGGATTCTCAAACAGGTGCGAACCAAAAACACAAGGATAACATGAGTTGTTTTTTAAAAAAACGAAAACAAAGGACCAAAAAGTTATTAATGCAGAATGTCTGTTCTCTGCCTTTTTACTGGAGCACAACCTGCCACTGAATGCATCGGATCACGCTGCAGCTTTATTTAGAAAAATGTTTCCCGATAGTGAAATTGCTAAGAAATACTCAAGTGCAAGAACCAGAACAGGTGCAATTGTTAAAGAAATGGGTTTGAAAAATAAATCTTCAGTTATTGATTGCACAAAACAGCTCCTCTGCCTCTCTACGGATGGAAGCAATAATACCGATTCAAAACTGTATCCAATTGTTGTTTCTTTTTTTAATCCAGATTCTTCAGAAATTGAGGGCCCACCAGCGGCCGAGCGGTAAAAGTCGCTGAACACTGGTAGTTCGGTCCGAGGTTCGAATCCCGCGAACGGGCTGGCTGCATGGGTGTTTTCGTGGTTTTCCCCATGTGTAACGTGTATACGAGCCAGTTTCCCTTAGAAAGTCCTCCACAAAAGGCATCCCTCCTCTTAGGCAGATAGCCCTAGTGTGCTTTGCCATAATTAAATGCACCACACCACACTTCAGAAATTGAGTGCAGTTTACTTTCCGTCCCCATTTTAGAAGGACATTTGACAGGCTTTAATATACCACAGTTAATTATTAAACTTTAAAAGAAAATGCAGGCCCTCTGGATAATTGTTTAGCACTTGGTGCCGATAATGCACCAGTATTGGTAGACTTGAAGACTGGTGTTGCAGGCATCTTAAGAAAGGAAAATTCAGATTTGCAGATTATGAGGTGCACCTGTCACCTTTTAAATTTAGCAGCTGAAAAAGTGTCAACTTCTTTACCAATAAATGTGGATGAACACATTATTGATATTTTTTATTATCTTGAAAGGAGTTCTAAAATGGAAAACTGAAAGGTGCTGATGGAATTTTAAAATATAGTCAACTACTGTCTAGAATGTGTTGGCCATCTGACATTCCCCATAGTAGTGCAGAGTGGAGAGGATTTTCAGTGTTTGTTGCTAAACGAGGACTAAATTTAGATCTAATATTAGTGATAACACATTAGAAAAACTTTTCTTACGAAAGCGGCCTACGTGGCAATGGCAGTGAACAAATTAGGAAGTTTCTTTCTCTAATTTTCTAAACTAAACCTTCCTTTTTTTTTTTTTTTTTTTTTTTTCCCTTAAACGATGCAAGTAATAAAATGTTTTTTTTATGCATAAGGTATTTTTGTGTTGCTTGCATTTAAGAATTAGTTACTATTTAAAATTAATTCATTATTAAAAACCATATTTTTATCATTTAAAAAGTCTTTTTAACATTGTGAAAAATCTCCTGATTTTTAGTGTCATAGGTTGGCAAGTATGTGTTGCCTATTTTGCTCTCAGAAATTTTAATACAATGCATTTCACAATGTTTTTGAAGTATGGTAAAGGAATATTTCTCTCTGGGAACATGGCTATCAATCTAGAGTTTGTTTACATGTGACATTTTGAAAAAACAATAAATTTGAAAATAACAGATGATATTTCTGTATATATAAGTTGTTGCTAAAAATTTTTTATTCCAAAATATTTGCTTAAAAAAAATTCTTCGTTGAAATCATTTTAAAAATATGTAAACATCCTTTGTAGTAATTTCATAGTATATTTACAACCTAGATACATAGTGTGGTATTTTAGCAGAATTCAATTTAAAATACCGGGGGACACTAGAAACAGCAAACCTGGATCTGGCAGGATATTAAGGATTTACTGACTTGATGGCAACCTTAAAACCATATTAGTGTATTATGTCGAAAGGGCTTTTTGAAGTACTTCATAATGCAGAGTTGTTTAAATTATGAATAAAATTTTTAGATGATAATAAATTTATAATGTAATACAAGAAAGTAAAGGCATTTACTTAAACAAGTTATTTTAAGGATATTTATAATTTTGAATCAAAAGAAGACTTTAAAGATATTAGCTTTTTAAATATAAATGCAGCTAAGTTGATTTATTTTATTTATATTCAATTATATTTTATTTGATAATAAAAATCACTTGCAAATTCACTTATTTCAATTTCTTTTAGGCACTGAACTACTTTTTAGTGTAGAATGAAATGTACAATTCTTGGAAGCGTTCTGATTAGCTAGTGGTTCAGATAGCATATTAAGGTTGTGAGGTGTGAAATGATTTAGGATATTAGTATTTTTAGATATTAATATATATTTAGATTTTTAATTCATACAGAGATGCTCAGAATTTCCAGAGTTGATTAACTGGATTGCTACATGTAGATATAAGTTTAAAATATACTGAACAAAAAATATTGGGGTGGCATATATATCTACACGTATATATGGAATTCTGCATTTTCAAAAGTGAAAAGCATCAATCTTGAATATTAAAATTTGGGAATGTAATGAACATATACGTAAAGTATTTGCATTTCTTACATGTAATATCTGTTCACTTTTTCAAGTGCAGTGTGTGTTTAAAAAAAAAAGTTTCATACTTCCTCATTTATATTAATCTAATATTATAGGGAAAAACTGGCTTATTTTCGCACTTTAATTGAACAATATCAGCCTTCCTTGAAAAGGGATCCTTCTTATTCTGAGGTAATTATTTAATAAATTTGAAAAGTAATTATTTAATAACTTGCAAAATACTTTTCAACTAATTTTTTATCAAGTTGTATAATGACTGTAATGTAATATTTTCAGTATGTTGAACGGATTGGGCAGTTATTTTTTGGTCTCTCCCCTCCACCAAAACAGCAAGGCTTATTTGGTATTGATTTTTCAGTTTTTATAATAAAATAATTTTCAGTTGAAGTAATTTATTAATGTTAATCAAATTTCATCTAGAATGCATGTAGGATGTCTCCTAGCAAAAGCATTGGATTAAGATGTCTACAAAAATACTTTTATTTTTAGAAAATGGAAAATGTTTTTATGTACTTACAACAAGCATAAGTTCCAATTTAAGAATGCTGAGTTTGGTTTGACATGGCAAGACTGTCATTTTATCATTGGCAGTGTATTTTTCTTTGACTTGGAGGTGCAACATTTAAAGTAAATTTTGACTGTGAAAATCTCATTGCAGGAATGATAAATGTGTTTCATAGATTATTAGGAAGCTTCATACAGTCTTTGGATGTGAAAATGTGCCGAATGGAACAGCAAACTGCAGACTGATAAAGAAATTTGAGGATATAGGTTCAACAGCAGATATTGAATCATCATACTCTTGATCCAGCCAGTTTATTGAAAACAGCGCTACCATGCATGACAATGTTATTGCAAGTCTCAGATAATCCAAAGTTGAAGAGTAAAAGAACTTAAGAGTGAAACTGAATATGTTATTAATCAGTAACCTCATTCACTTCGATAGGGAGATATGTGAAAAAGTGATTATGTATTTCATCAGAGAGTACAGTGCTGTAGAATGAGTTGTGGAGGACATGTGTCAGATATTGTTTTTTATTCTTAAATCAGAATATTTACCTGTTTGTAAAAATATTTTCCATTTTTTAACATATATTATTTTGTTGGGCATACAGAATCCGGTACTTTTATTGAAACACCTTTTATATTATAGATCTTATGAAGCGTGCAGACATAACCAAGCATTTGAATTTCGTTTTACATTTTATATGAAGGTTTCGTTTACAGGAAGTATCTTCAAATAATAACTATTCTGTTTTTATATAATATGCTTTTATATAATATGTTTTTATATAATATGTTTCTGTAATAATATGCTTTCATTTGACTTTTTGTAAAGATGTTATTTTATATAATAAGTGCTTTACAGTATATGCAACCGGTGATCTGTGAAGGAAAGCATTGTTATTATAATGCAGTTCGTATTTGAGATTTTGATAATATGTACATTTTATTTGTTTTTGAATCTATTTTATAACATATATTTCTATAGCTGAATGTCGTAGTGATGAGGAAGGATTATAACTCATGAATAAAGTATTCAGAATAATTATTATAGCTTTTTGTGCATTCAAGATTTCAGTTTCTTGTAGAGCCATATTTGCTCAACACTAGGACAAAATTTCATAAATATTCAGTTCATAACTATAAGATCATAACCAAATATTCATATACTAAGATTATTGTAATCAAATGATCATTATCATGGAGCAAATCCATGTTATCTTGTTCAGGCCATTTTTTGCAAATGCTGTGAAAACTCAAATAATATCTTTTATTATCAGTCTGGCTAATTTGTAGGAATTCTGATATATGACTCAATGACATTTGAAGAAAATAATTAACATAACCTTAATTTTTAACCTAGGTCTTTTTGGTTTTGCTTTACCTTTCAAGCTTTATTCATTTAATTGTTGAGTAACTTCTTTGTCTTAAATCATAGATCCAGATTTCACCTATACAAATACATATTAAGGAAGACTGGCCTTGAGAAAGCAACTGCAGGGCCAATTAATATTGTTTTTGGAAAAAAAAATTAGGCATTTGAAACTTAAGAAGTGATACTCTGAAAGCCTAAAAAAGTCTTTCAAAATTGCTTGGCAGAAATCAGTTTCAGAGAAATTGTTCAATAATACTTATAGTTATTAAAGAATGATGGTTAAATCTCTGACTTGATCAGTATATTGTTTATTAATTTATATGGATGGTCTACTAGTGCTTAGTTCTTATTTGACATGGTCCTTGCTCTCTTTAAACATCTTGCATTCCTTAACACTTTGCGGGCCGCGCATTTATTGAAGTGCCGTTACGTTGCCGCCGTTTCACGCAGGTTCTACTGCTCGCCAACGGTGATATTTACGCAATTTTTCGAAACATAAGCATTTGGTATATACTTATTATTAAAGAAAGCACTAAAATAACTGTTACACTATTTTTATTCCATTTTGTTCCAGTTATATTTTTTAGTTTGTACTAAAACGTTTTATTTAAAAAAATTAGCTCCTAGGATCCATAGATCTTTTTAGTATGAGAATACTGAAAACATTTTCCAACATGCAGAGAAACTTTGCAGGAAGAACATATGTATGCAGTGGAACTTCTTTTCTTGGTGGCAGTGCAGACTTGGCATCAACACCACCTGCCCTTGGCAGGTTTTGAATTCTCTTATTACCACTAATACGTGTTATTCTATGTTTTCTCATGTCCGCAGTAAGTCTGCCTGGTGGATCAAACCTCGGCGATCTTTTATAACATTGAGCAGCCGATCTTGATTGTTTCTCTGCTTCATTCCCATTAATCCATGCTAGTGCAAGGTTTAGTAAAAATTGTTTGAATCTAATAGGATTTTCAGAATTTTTTATGTATATCTGGAACACGTTGAGTAATGCACAGTTTATGAGATATAAAACCTTTTTTTTTTTTTTTTTTTTTGCAAAGTATGGAATAACATGGAGGTATTGATCGGCGTGATCAACACCTTTCATAAATTTATTATTCTCTTGTATGCAGATTGGTTTAATGCACTTCTTTTTGGTTCTTTTACTCACACATTCGACCATGTCTGCTGAATGTATCGTAGAAATCACCATTATCAATTTTTTGGCCGAATTCCATTTTTGTACCATAATTTTCCCTTTTCTATGAAATTCCAGTGACTTATTTTTCAATGTAGCAGATTTTAAACAATTTGGCATTCCTCTGTTTACTGTAATTGTGCCACAGATGTTTGTTTCATGCTTTAGTAACTCCTCTGCAATATATACATCGTGCCATAAATTAAATATGGCGATAGCACGGACAATATTGTCGCAATTAGTGATTTTCCTTGCTCGCAATATATTTCTAAATTGCATATACAACCAGATGTCGCCTCACACACCAAACGGACTAAAATTCCTTATTTTATAATTTTCGCAGGATTATATGTACGAAAAGATAGCCTGCCCCTCCATGGAATGATACCTTCATCCAGCAGTAATTCTTTCTCGGGTTTATAAATTTTTTTAAACTTTTCTACCAGGTATGATTAACTGGTTTTATTTTATCAAGCCTTTCTTGGCATTGCTCATTATTACAGAAGTGTCAATACTTCCATAACTGCCGAAATCACTTCCTTGGCATAGTATTCGCAAAAATAGGTGTATGTAATCCAGGTTGAGTAGACCAATAATCGTCTTTTTCTGGTTTTCTTACTATTCCCATTACAATAACAAGCCCCAAAAGTTTTTTCATTTCTACAACATTTGTATCAATCTAAGCTTTACTCTTTGATGATGTATTGTTGTTGTCATTATTCTGCTGATTATGATATAAGTTTGTTTGTGGGGCAAACAAATTAAATAAATCGTCCCCAATGAACAATTCTACAGTTGATAATATATCTGGTGTGTATGGTACTTGTAACCCAAACCGTTCCAAACAAGCATGAAAGTTAGGTTTAAAATCAACTTCTGACCAATCATTTGCCACAGAATTCTCTTCATCACTTTCAGATTCACTAATTATTGGTCTTCCCTTATTTTTGAATCGTCTCACAATTATATCGCTCCCACTGTTCGAATCACTTTCACTATCAAAGCAGTTCATCCTCTTCTGATAACAGATCAGCTTATATTTCCTCATCGAAGAGCATTTTGAAGGATATCTTTAAATTTAACGTAAGTTTCTGATATTTGAAGGCAGGGAAAGACAGTCTCAAACTAACAAAACAAGCGTCCACGAAAAAAGATTTCAATAATAGACAGTCTGTTGAATTGGGAGAGGAAAACAGTTGAAACCAATGTTTCCTGATCATCAAATGTTTTGCTATAGTATGTCTATCTATACAAGCGTCGATGTGAAGCATCGTCGTTGGGGAAAATAAGTCACACGTACGTGACAGCGGCTGATAATCGTTGGCGAGCAAAAGTCACGCCAGCGTGACAGCGGCCCGCAAAGTGTTAACTTACTTTTGATAAAGTTTTGTTCTGAAAAATATTTTACAACATTTAAATGTGTTTGTAGAAGAAATTCCAGTGTGAAAACAAAATTTAATGAATGTTCTCTGTCCCTCGGCTCACTTTTTGTGAGTACTGTGTGGCAATCCCGCAGTACTCTAGCCCTTCAGGGGATCATAATCTTGGTGAGATGGGTGTCACAATCCTGGAGCCCCTGTAATCTATCCTCTTTTATGTCTCCCACCATAGTTGTAATGTTTTTCTTCCTCTTTTATGTCTCCCATCATAGTTGTAATTTTTTCCTTCCCTTCTGCCTTGTGGTTTTCCTCTTTGGTGGTTGGAGCCTGTCGTGAAAAGCTGTTACAGCTCTTGTCTCTAGTTTTTGAGTGGTAAGAAAACTCTCCACATATTTGTCATGCCTGGAGACCTGTGTCGTTGGGAAGGAGAGTTTGAGTAATTGAGGGTGAGGTACTGTCCTCAATACACTGCCTTGGCCTCTGCTTCAGTTAAACAGGAGACACTTAATTGTCCTCGCTGATATCAATAGCCTGGTTTCCCGACTCTAGTGTAGGTGGCTTTGGGAATAGCTCTCAGGAGTACCTGCTTCAGTTTCTATATAGGTCTGGCTAGCCCTAACACAAGAATTTGGGTTCCCTTGTAGGATTCCTTGGTGTGAGGGGCGGTCGGACCCAAATCTTATTTCTTTTTCTTACGGCATTAAATATATCAGTTCATATGATTACACATCCTGAAGTCAAGTCCAGCAAAACACTTGTTCTTCAAAAAACTCTAAAAAAGATGTGCACCAATGCAATTGTTAAATAATAAAAAAAATTGTCCACGTTTCCTAGTTGCATCTAGCACTTCAGATGAAATTTATGTCTCCTTTATTAATAAATAAATGCATTAATTCTTGTGTTGGTGAGCCTAGAAATATAAAGTATCTTCATTCTGGAGATATGCTTATTGAAATGATTTCAGCTACACGGTCTGCTTCCTTACTTCAAATAACGGATCTTGAGCAAACTGCTGTAACTGTAACTGCACATAATATGTTGAAATTTTTGGCAGGGTGTCACATCAGAAATCAATCTTTTGTTTGTCAGGGTGTCACCTCAGAATTTTTATTTTGTCCCTTTGCATCTTATTATTTCCCAGAAGAAGAAATTGTCTCTGAGCTTGATCATCAAAATATATGTGATGCTAGGTGAATTAAGATGCAAAAGGATGGCCAGTTGATTGACAAAAAAACTTGTGATAATGACTTTCAACATGCCTGATCTGCCAAAGAATATGAAGGCTGGAATATTAATTCTCATGTAAGATCCTATATTGCAAACCCAATGTGATGTTTCCAATGACAGCATTTTGTCCGTTCCACTATGTCTTGTTGTGGAAACCTGACAGTGCCCAATGCTTGAAAGTTGGTCACAAATAGTGAAAATTGCACCACTGTGAATAAACTGCAAGTCTGAACACCCATCATTTTCTTGCTCTAGCCCAAAATGGAAATCTGAGAAAGAGGTTCAGGTGATTTGTCATCAGAGCAATGACAAGGAATGTATATGATGAAATCGGAAGGACAGTTGAAAATTCACAACTACAATTAAATAACTCTTTCATTAGTGCTGTAAAATCAACCAGGCCTATTGCTACTCAAACCTCTCTTAGCATACCTGAAGTCCCACCATCAAATATTGAAATAATTTAATTTGATTCAATTTTATTTTGTTCCTTTGCATCTTGTTATTTCAGTGCCATGTATTTTAAATGTATTTCATGTTGTTTTTTAATACATCTAAATCTTATTGTTAATTTTAGCTTTCATCATTGTATTATTTCTGTTCATTTTGTGACTATGCTGCTGTTTTAAACTTAATTATCTAATATGTATGCTCGTATCTTATTTGTGTATGGAAGTATGAAACCTGTATTTGTTATATATAACCTTTAAAGTTTTGCACCAGAAATCCACTACCACTGGATGTTCTTTGCTCAGTTATATTGTCATTTTAGGAAATTGCTGAAGCAGAAATTCTTTAAATACATTAAAAAAAACTTTGCAAATGACAAAAGAAAACGAAATATAATGCCAATGAAAGTTTAAGGGCTTCTGAAAAATACATTGCAACTAATTTCTAGCATGTGTGTTTTTTAAATGAATCATTCCTGATAATTTTTAGTTATAGCAATAATGTAAAGCAGCTGAAGAAATTTTATTTTTATATTTTAAATCAAAAAATTGTTATGAAAAGTAGTTTTTTCCTTGAGGGCCATGTGGCAGAGAAATTTTCCTTTTCTGATGATGCAGTAAAGTAAAAAAATAATATTCTTGTATACTTAAGGGGAGAAAGTGTAATTTACTCATAAAAATAAAAAAAACAGAAAATCAGCATGATGTGTATTTTGAAGGCTAAGAAGAAGTAATTGGCAGTAATTATGCATATATCATAAGAAATGTTCTTGTGAAAGCTGAATGTGTGTTAAGATCAGTATGATGATTTTGCTTTACAGTTTAACTCGTAACAGGGGACTTGTGGTCTGACGGACCGTGCCACATGTTTCTCCCATCACCCCTATTGCATGCTTTGTCCAAGTGAATGGATTCTTCCCCTAGCTTCACGTTTCGTGACCTTCTTTCTGACCCCTTCTTATCAGAATGCTTTGGCAAGTGTATCTGTTGAAATTCTTCTAGAGCGATCTGTAAAACCTCACCTCCCTCTCAGTGTTACAATTTTCGGCAGTAGTGAACACATGGCTCTGAAGTTAGGTCCGCGGAGATTCATTTATCCTTCTGATCCACATTATGCAGAAGAAACTGAAAAAAATTCTAGTCGAAGTTGGAAGTAATTTTAGTGAAGAGAGACTGTGTGAAGAAAATTTCTGCGAAAAAGGCGAGCAGTGGTTTTGATGTCGTCATTGCATCATTCGATAGAAACAGACTCGGAAACACAGAACCTGAAATAATTGGTTTTATAACAGAACCAAAGGTGGTGTGATGCTTTAGATGAAAAATGTTCTGTCCATTCCTGTAGTAGGAGAACAACGCGTTGGCCTATGGCTCTTTTCTTCTACCGGTTAATAGATATGAGTACAATACATGCATACATTTTGCACCAAGGTTATAACCAAAACCCTGTTATGACCAGAATAGTGTTTTTCGAAAGAATTAGCGAGAGAATTAAGTCCAACCACTACTACACACTGAGAGGGAAAAATCCATACGATAAATCGGATTTTAGGAACCTGAAGCTGAGTCTAAGCAGATGTGAAGCAGTGCACAAAAGAAGCTGAGTCTAAGGATGTGGAAGCAGTGCACAAAAGAAGCAAAATTAAAATCACGGAAAACATGTCGTCTGTGCCCCCCCGAGCAAGAAAAGAAAGCCAGCATATTTATGTTTATCTTTGCCCAAGACCCTGTTAGTTTGGAATGCAATGCAAAAAGTTATGCAATGAATATGCTAAAGAAGATGAAAACTAAATTGTTTCACTATCAGAAAAGCAGTGAGATACTGATATTTTAGGTCCTCCTGTCAAAATTTTTCTGTATTGTGCTACATACAATTTTCTGCGGTTAAAATTTGCTTTGAATATTAACTAATATAGATAAAATAGTTAATTCAAAATAGATGCATTCTTATTTTTAGTTTTATAGAATTTAGTGCAGCATATGATTTTCATCGAAAAATTTGAGGCTATGGGGAAATTTTCTGGGAAAACTTTAATTTCACTTTAAAGTGTAAAAACATATTTTCTTTTCAGAGTAAAATGTTCAATGATATTTTAATTAGATGATTTTTAAAAATTTATTATAATGCGCGGTCTCTGAGACCGCACGATCCCTGTTATGTTCAACTTTTTCACCTCCCCTGTTACGGGTTAAGTAAATAAATCACTAATGGTGGAATAAACTTGCTTATCTAAGTTATAAAGCAGTGAAATGATGAGTATGAGGTTAAAGATTGTTTCTTTTTACTTAGTAAATGCTCTTCAATTTTGACATATGCTATTTTGATGAGGTAAATTGTCTGATTTTATATATGTACTTATTGCAGTACCCAAAGAGAATGTATTATTTTATATAAGAAATTAGGAATTTTACTGATTTATAAATGTTAAACAAAACTGTCTGTTCTTAAAATTGTTAAATTTTAAGCATAACTGTTTGTATGGAAAATTGCAAGTTAAATTTATTTTTATTGCATGTATGTGAACTTGACATTCATTTATGATCATTAATATTAAATGACAAGTTGAAGGAAATTTTATTATTGCAGAATGTTATTTTTTTAAATTTAAGATTTTGTCTTTATTTTTAAATTTGTTTTGTATTTGTGTTAGTAATTTTTCATTATTCTTTCTATATTGTTATTGAATGATTAACTTTGCATAAATATATATTATAATGATTTGTCAATTTTTTAACCATATTCGTAATTAAAACATGATAATATTTTTGACTAGGTAACTTGTTACAATCATTATTGGGTGGCTTAGATGACAACTTCAGTGAAGAACCAGCAGAACCTGTAGCTGGCTGTTCTAAAGGAGAAACATACAAGATACAGCAAGAGGATTTAGACTAATATTTTAAAATAGTTTGTTAAATTCTGAAGTAGAAGAATTTTTTGTAAAAAAAGTAACTATATCAATTTAATTTCCTGAAGAACTATATAGTTTTATTGAGCATTACTAAAATATTAAAATAATTAGCTTAATTTAAGAAGACATTCTTTTTCAAGTCAAAATATATTTTTTTATTTGCTTTATTCGTTTCACACTGCTCTTCTCAAATGAGTTTCAAGGCACAAAATTATTTGGCAAATTTATGGTTAAATGTACTTAAAGCATGGAAATAAACCAATTTCAGATACTGTGCATCATTGTATTTAAAATGAGAGAATGACTTTATTTTTCATATTATGATGAACTATTTTACACCTGTACATAGCAAAAACTTTTCTTTTCTCTTTAGAGACTTAAAAATGAATTTGCTTTGGTTTAGTATTACTTTTATACATTTTAAAATCTCCTGTTATAAATCTCGAAGTATGTCCCATACTTATTACACTTTCACACTTTTTTTTTAAATACATTTTTGAAGGTTATGTCTATTTATATTGCTTTTATTTTTAAAAATGAAGAACGTGCAATGTTCCTGTACTTTTTTAATTGTAAACCAGAACTTCCATTGCTCATTTATATGCAGTTACTATTCTAATTAAAATGGGATCCACTCAAATTTTATTCATAATTTATATTTAATATATCATACTTTCATAAAATGATATGACATTGTGAATGCAGTTGACTCCTGATGTACATTTTCAACAGCAGGCTATTAACAGTTAAACTTTCATGAAGCAAAGAATTACATGTGGGTATGCTTGCAACTTTAAAACCCTGCATAATTTAAAGGTCAACTGTATATTAACATTTTGACATATTTTGTTCATTGTTTCATGCATTCAAAGCTGGAATAAAGCCAATAGTGCTTCGAAAGTGTATTTTTAGAATAAAAGTAATTATTGTATTTTCTTTTAAATGTTGTTATATGACTGAAAATTCATCAGTAGGTAAAATGCTCAATTTTTTGATAAATACAGTCACAGAACTTTTTTTTTTTTTTTTTTTTTTTTTTTTTTTTTTTTTTTTTTTTTTTTTTTTTTTTTTTTTTTTTTTTTTTTTTTTTTTTTTTTTTTTTTTTTTTTTTTTTTTTTTTTTTTTTTTTGTTTTTTTTTTAAATTTTTGAAGAAAATTACTGCATTTGCCTCACTTAACATTGTTCCTGTGAACAATTTTACTTACTAGAGTTCATCCTTTGATAAATAAATGCTTAAAGATTAAAATTATTGGATAAAAATGTTTCTTTTCCCATTCTTTAAAAGAGTTATTCATTGAAAGAAAGTTTAATTAAATAAATTTAAAGCAATAATAGAGTATACATAGATTTATTTTATTCATTGTTCTTCACAGGAAATCAAATACATATCTCTGAATGTATTAATTTTCTTTTCATATTAGGTAATGTTAGGTGCATTGACATATTGATTATTTCTAGCATGAATTCATTAAAGTAAATTTAAACCCCTTTACTGTAACTAATATACCTCCCCCAACTGCTAGCATTTCAAGAGTACTTGCTTCAAAAAGATTTAAAAGATTTGTGGCATTTTTATGTAAGTAATAAAGCCTTTGTGGCTGTTTACTGAACAGTTTGAGAAATATTTAAAAGAGTGGCTAATAACGATCAATTTTAGGAAAGCAACATGCATGGGCATTGCTTTCATGTGTACTATCAAAATTCCTGCTATATATATAAAACTTTTAGTGGCCTATCTTGATTACCAAAGCAAGTAAAAATTCTGTTTATGCAGTAGTGGCATAGCACTAAAGTGCCCATGCCTTTATGAAAGTTGCTTTGTTTGAGTTAGAAACAGATTTTCAGAAAGAATGAAAGATAAACCCTTATATAGGTGTGCCTGTTTTTCCAAACAGTGGCTGATTTGCATTTAGGTGCCAGCATCACTGTGAAGGTTCTGGCACTACTGCCAGACGTGCAGAATTGATTTGAATAAGAGTGCATAGTAGAAATTTTTGTGAAGATTGCATTCATGCAATTCAGTGATTATTTACACCCACAATATTGCAAAAATTTATATGTGGCCTAGCCATGTTAAAGTAAGATGACAGATATCAGGAAATTGATCGCTCATTTTTTATAATTAATGATTAAATTATTTCAGTTGCAGTATTTGAAAGAATGAAATTTCAATGAGTTAAAGGTGTGCTAGTTGCTCTGTTAGACATAATATTGTATGTATTTGTATATCTATGTATATACATTTTGTATCATGCCAAGATATAAATTTGAAAAATAATAACCTCTTCTAAAACAAAAAAAATCTGAGTCTTTTTTTCCCAATTGTAGTTTTGTGGTTTACTTTTCTTTTTATGTGTATGTAATTTGTGTTTTAATATTATGTAATTTTATTTGTAACCATTTTTTTATTCTGAATCAAAAAATTGAATAATTGAAATGTTTGAAATCTGTTTTCAAGAATATTTTAAAATTTTAAATTAATTCTAGCACTACTGCAGTAGGTTTCATCAGAAAACTTAATAAGCATATTTTTTTTAAATAAAATGTAAATTAATTTGATGTTTGAATGCTATTACATTGTATATATTTTAGATATGTATATCAATATATTGAAAAAAATGCCTTCTGGCTATAATCTACAATTTTACATATTTTATAGCCTTCCTGTAAAATTCTAGCTGCTTTTTATTGATTTTTCTGCATTTGTTAAATTGTTATCTTTCAGATTTAAATATATTTCTGTAAATTTAAATTTATTTTATACTTATTTATCATTGTGTTCAATATGTGTATTTATTTTTGAATATGTTTTTTCATAAGATGTAAATTAGAAATATTTTGTTTATACTAAATCAGTGGTATCTGAAAATTAGTTTCTGGAATATTCTAAAGCTAGATCTGCAAATAAACTAATTTTTACTATTTTAGACTATTAATAATGTATCTTTTTCAAGAAACTATTTAAGTATGGTGTATTAAATATGTAATTAATAAGAAATAAAGTTATGGTTATTTCTAATTGTTGCATTTTCTTAAGAAGTGGAACAACTCTTAAATGAGTGTTATTTCTTGTATAATGTTTAATCATTATAAGTAATTGTAAGTTAATAATTTTTTTGGCCATTTTATGTTAGAATCCTGCTGAACAAAATTTTGTATCATTTAAAAGAAGGGAAAAAAAAAAAAAAAAAAAAAAAAAAGCAATTAAGATTACATACTTTATTAATGTATTCGTACTGGCAATTGAAACGACTTATTAACAACAATCATAGTAGTAGCTATAAATGGAGTTACCACAATAGAATCACATGAGCATAAATGCGGCACAACTCTGCAAAATTTGCATAGCCGTATCTGTCCCTAATTTGGTGGCACTTCATGCAATAAAATATTTAGCTATCTACAATAAAAATTTTTTTTTTTTTTTTTACTTTGTTTGTTTTGTTTTTTTTTTTTTTTTTTTTTGTTTTTTTTTTTTTTTTTTTTTTTTTTTTTTTTTTTTTTTTTTTTTTTTTTTTTTTTTTTTTTTTTGTTTTTTTTTTTTTTTTTTTGTTTTACATTTTCCCCCCCCCCCCCCCCCCACCCCCCCCCCCCCCCCCCCCCCCCCCCCACCCCCCCCCCCCCCCCCCCCCCCCCCCCCCCCCCCCCCCCCCCCCCCCCCCCCACCCCCCCCCCAATAGCCCCCCCCCCCCCCCCCCCCCCCCCCCCCCCCCCCCCCCCCCCCCCCCCCCCCCCCCCCCCCCCCCCCCCCCCCCCCCCCCCCCCCCACCCCCCCCCCCCCCCCCCCCCCCCCCCCCACCGCCCCCACCCCCAACCCCCCCCCCCCCCCCCCCCCCTCAAATATCACAATCATGATGATCTAAAATATTTATCTTGCAGAAATCATGCATACATTTTCATAAAACTGGCAATAGCGATGCAAGCATTTACCAAAGTGCTCTTTTCAAATATAAAAATAAAACAGTACTTCTCATTGTAGTACATTTATTTATTTTTTGTAATTCCTAAAATTTCCAAATTTCCAAACACGTTTTGAAATTTATCATAATCTAAAATTCTACCAAAACGCAGGGTTAGATACAAATATTCAGAAGAATTGTACATGTGAAGTTTCATATATGCATCTGTTGCTTTACATTCACCATCAGTTAAAGGAACAAGATTTTGAACAGGAAGTATAATATTGTTTCTTCTACCCCAGAATGTAAGATGAGATATTTTTACATATTTCTCATCTTTGGTTACATAAATTATACCTATAAATCTTCTGAAAAACATTGTAAAGACATATAATGTCAAGCAGGCAAAAGTAGCTGCTCCAACTACAACATTAATAAAAGTGAGGTCTACTAAATTGTATTTGTACATGATACAGCCAATTGGAATAGCTGCAACAGTGAATGTAGTTTGATAAAGTTTGAAGCGATTTAAAAGTCTTCCTAAATTAATCAATGGGAAATAATATACAGGAGTCCATTCTGCATCTTTGACAGTCTCTTGACATGTATGGTAATAAACGTCGGTGCCAAGCGCTTTTTTGCTGAGGCATCTTACTGCATTTACTGTTAGTGATTTAAAGTAAAAATTGGCGTGTTGAACATGTTTCATCAACTGAAACAAATAAAATTATTTTAAACATTATAGAAGTAATATAAAATAGATGTACCAAAAGATTTGATAAATACATAAATTGAAATTATTCAATGATAGAAGTGCTTTCAACTGAAAACAAGTACATAACATTTTAACTGTAATGCATAAGTCCTTTCCTTTAATAAAATTTAATGATAAAAATTTTTGCATATATAAGGACAAAATTAATTTCACAACAGGTATAAAAAAATAAGAAATGACATTTTACTTAACATTAATTAACAAATATTTTAATGCTTACACTTTTCTCTTTCTCTTATACAGTCAAAAGTCATTAATCCGGACTTCGGCGATTCCGGATTATAGATCATCAGTTTAAATCTCGTAAGATGGCATGCAGAAATTCTAAAATTAAAAATATGAAACCGTAATTTATGAAATAAAGAACAATTATGATCTAAAGGGTATCAAAATTTACAAAAAAGCTTAATATTATTTGTTTACTTTACTAACCATTTCTTTCAATGTAAGTTGTTTAAGTTGCTTCGTTTTATGTGATAATACTTTCTCTTTAATTCTATAAACAGACATAATTTCTTGTTCAGTTAAAAGTTCCGCTGTTCAAGTCCCGTAATTGCTGTTCCGAGAATACCGACTAACTTGTCAATCGAAATTTTTTTTTCGTTTTCACTAACCTCTCTGTCACTTCTTCTGTCTTTATCCATTTTTTGCAGCAATTCCACTTTTTGTTTGATGGACATCGAAACATACTTTCGTTTTGTAGATCTTTTGGGAGCTCCAGCATCGGAAATTCTATTTGATATAATCGAAAGTTCAAGTTTACTTTTATAAAATTGCTCTTACAGTCTGCCAAAAATAATAAGCCGGATCCAATTCGAAGATTAAAGAACAACGCAAATCATCAACATTAATGAAAAGATAATTAGCTTATACCGTCCTTATACCGTCCATTATACATAAAACGCGCACGTGAAAACGTATTCTGCACTTGCGCACACGCATATGCGCAGTCGTAAAGGTCTTACGCGCATGCATAAACACCTATGCGCATGTGTCAATGCGGCGCATGCGCAGAAAGTTTTTAGCTTTGAGGTCCAGATTATGGGTGTCCAAATTAACGACTTTTGACTGTTATACACATGCATATATGTATCACAACTTACCAGTTAGTGAAATTTTTAAAATTCTTCACAAAAGAATAAACCATAAAGGAGAACTAAGTAAAATGACTCGCATATATTTCATTTTCAAATTGGTTTCTATGTAACTGCCATGAAATAGCCAACCACATGGTAAACATGATTTTAGAGACGAAAAATAATTTGGTACAGATGATCAAGTTGGTATTATTTTTAGGAAGTTGATTAACATTACTTTATAAATCTAAGTCTGTTCACTGCCTTTGAGAATTTTCTACCTCTAGAGTGGAAAATATTCTGAAAAGCATGCCTCTATATAAGATACTCAATTAATATCATAATTAAGAAATATTTGTTCTATCATCAGTTTCATAACCTTCAAGAGCTAGAAACATCTGATTTGTAACTTATCCTTAAAGGAACTAAAAGTCAAATGATAACTAGACTAGAACTAAGTCAATTAAAAACATTAATTATTACTTATGTAAATAAAGGAATACCTTCATTTTCTGACATTTATTATTATTTTTTAGCCTTTATTCTTTTGACAGTCTTTGTATTTCCAAATATTTTTTTTTTCCTCTTGTAATCGCATCATACATTTCCTTGACCCATCAGGAAATAATTGAAAACATTGATGGTAGTATTAAATAAAAAGCCAAGCTTTCATTGAATTCCAAGTAAATTGACTAATGACATCATTGGCTAATAATGACATGATGTACTATTAGATAACAATAATATTTTACAATAACATCCTCAAAAAAGTGAAAAATTAAGAAACCCTAAGTCATTTTCTGCCTTTTAAAACTGAAATCTTTTTTCTTCAAAGACTATGCTCTCCTGCAGCAAAAATGCAAAGTTTTATCATTACATGTTTTTGTGCTTAAAATAAAGAGCTGCTTGCTGCTGACGGCCTTTTCATTATAGAGAAAAGAAAATACATCTTCAATGTTGTATCAACTCATTAAAAATATACTACATATATACATTAGAAACTTGTATGCATACCAATTGAGTTAAAAATTCATTAACTGCTGATATTCCACGAGTACCCCCTTCAGGATCAGCCTGGTGAACTGATTCCCACTTCCTTCAGGTGGCACTCACTATATATACGTATACAGCAAGGCTGCAGCCTCTTCATAGAGTAATAAATTTGGTTAATTTCCATCCCTCTATTTGGGTAGACAATAATTGTTTAATAGCTTTTATCTTCTCCTATCCATAATGAATGTAGTTCTGTTGCCTGAAAACACCTAGACAGTTAATTTTCAAATGGTATCAGTTATCCAGACGTCCAATATCCAAAATGATCTAAAATTTGGACCTCCAGACTACAAACAAACTTTTTTTCTTTAGAAAATTTTTTTGTATGCTTTTGTACCCACGCACATTCAATATATATTTTTACAATAAAACATGGTGGGTCTCAATTCTTATTTCACTTTGGAAGTAAAAGTACTTTCATATTGGAAAAACAATAATTTGTTAGCATAAATCTGTATGATTAATAATTTGGCTCTGTAGTCGCCTTTTTGCTTGGCATACATCTCAAACCAAAACATAGTTGATTTTACAGCTAGTGAATAATTTATATCCCTGGCTCCAACCTAGTGAAATCTTATTTATTATTTTCTGCTTTCAACACTGCATAACTAACTATCGACACATGACAGTTTGGGAAATGAATCACAAAACGATGTCTAAACAATTGTTTTTTTAATATTAGTAATTAAATACCAAAGAGAATGGTAACCTTTTATGCCAACATCACGCTTGGCAACAATTACAGACTTAAGCTAACTGCACTGCAAAGGTGTTAGTGTGTTGATTAGGAGATATTTAACAGAAATTTCTTTCCATGTGCAAAAAAACAGATTTTGTATACGATAAGCCGAAAGATTATATTCAGTGCTATTTGAATTGAGAATAACTGATTTGTTATTCAAATAAGCTGAGGATTGGTGTCAGAGCTGTTGTGATAGTACCAGGCAGCAGAATTTAGGGAGAACAAAATTTTTAGAATTTAGAGCACTGAACAACAAATTTAAGGATGGCAAAATCTTTAGTATTTTACAGTGGGATGCAAAATTTAGAGGTGGAAAACATTTTAGACCTTGAGAAGGAGCTTGGCAGCAGATTTGAGGAAAACTGCACCGAGCCACGAAATGTATAGCGCCGGCCTTAGCTGAGCCTCAAATATGTGTGGAAATTTATTTATTCGTATTCAGGTAAGCCTTAAGAATGCTCAGGAAATTGGCATAAGTATAATGTACTATAATTAAACTAATATAATTCAGGCTTAACTTCATCAGCAGGTGATTAGGAGCATGACAAAATTTAGTGAAACATGCCTTTGATGATTTGAATGATTCACCAATCTCATAATAAATTTCCAATAGTGTGTACGTTCGCTACCTAGTTTTATGATGATAGCTGCAAATTTGAAGGTTTTCAAATTTCGCAAACAAAAAGCGAAATTTTTTGACTAGTGGAATTTGCAGAGAAATGGTAATAAATAAGATGATTTAACAAAAGATTTTATTTTGCAATGACAATGCCTCAATCATCAATCAAATAATGTTTAGATATCAGTAGGTTCTAAAGCCAGAACATATCACTACTGATAGCGAAGAAAGTGACAAAGAGGTCTGTTGAGAATGACAAAAATTTATTGACAATTTAGTGGGAATTCTCAACATGGCAATTACATGGCTTGAACAATGAAACTAAATAAAAAATTATGTCTAGCTATAGAATTAAAGAAAAAATATTAGCCTAAAAAATTATTCAACTTAAACAACTTAACATCGAAAGAAATATTTAATAAAGAAAAATAAATTTTACATTCTTTTGGTACATTTGATTCTCCTAAGATCATAAATGCTTCATTATTTCATAAGCCACTATTTCATATTTATAATTTCTACATATCATCTTACATATCCTAATACATATCTACATGTGGTCTTCTATGTCATTTCTACGCCAGATTTAAACTAAGGATATAATATCCAGAACATCCAAATATGGAATCACCAAAGTACCACCAAGTCTGGTTCTTGGCTCTGTACTCTATTTCACTTCAATTACTACTAATACACTGCTAGCCATTAAAATTGCAATACCAGGAAGGAATGATCTGACAAGCATCAAAATCACTTGAAAGGAAGAAGTTGTTGGGATATGCAAATGATTAGTATTTCAGTGCATTTAGATGATGCAGGAAGAAGAAACGACATCTAAAGCACTGCATAAAAGAAAAGTTGTGTAGTGGATTTCTCATTTGGAAAGCACTTGTAAGGTCAGGGTTTGGTCAGAATATCATGTTATGCCTTGAATAAGAAGAAGTAATGTCTGCCAGCAAGCGTCAAAATTTGATACAGGCAGGATCATTGCCTATATCGAGAGCGAATTGTCATTTCATGATATCGCCCGTCGCACTGGTCGACATCCTACCACTGTCATACAAATTGGGAATCAATGGATTGCTAAGAATCCTACTGAACGGCATGCAGGATCTCAATGCCCTCCCATGACTAACGCAAGAGAGGACAGAAATATTATGAGGTCAGCCCTACAAAACCGTATGACCACATCACGGGACATTAGTCAGGAAATAGTCGTGTTTGCAGACCAGTATCAGCTTGTAAGGCGCATCGATGTTTGCAGCAGCGTGGACTATCAGCAGGGTGACCATTACTTCGGCTTCCCTTGACAGTGCACCATAGAAAGAGACGCTAACTCTGATGTGCCAAATGACAAAGCTGGGTACAGGAGTAGCACAATGTCATCTTTTTAATCAAGTCCCGGTCCTACGTGCGGTATTCTGATGGCCGTATATGCGTCTTGAGT